ATCACCACAACACCCACGATCACCACAACACCCACGATCACCACAACACCCACGATCACCACAACACCCACGATCATCACAACACCCACGATCACCACAACACCCACGATCATCATAACACCCACGATCACCACAACACCCACGATCACCACAACACCCACCATCACCAAAACACCCACCATCACCACAACACCCACGATCACCACAACACCCACGATCACCACAACACCCACGATCACCCCCATTAAAATCATTTACTTCTTCGGCATACGTTTCCTAGTCATCAATTTGAAATGGTATACAGTATATATTATGAAGAAGTATTAATTTGATTAGAGCAAAGTTGAGAACACACCGTACATCATCGTAACTTTGCAGCAAATAAGTAACTTATACAAAAATATTTATCAACTAACCTTCGTATCGAAGCATTTCTGGCGATTCCTGTGAGCTTATTTAACTTTTTTTTTATTGAAATAAATGTCACGACTTGACACTTATTTCGTTTTATTTTTATGTGGGCTGAAACACACTAAACTTCACGCAACATCACACACTCTCAACATATGACAACATCACTAAACATCGATGACAATGAGAGCATGGATTCGACTATAGTCTATACAGAGCCGGCTGCGGCGCAACGGGAAACATTTTCTCTGAAATAAATTGTTATTCACAGACGTAATGGCAAAAGAAAAATGACGTGAGATTTTTTTCAACTCATAGTGTGTCTATGCCGCTCAGCTAGAATTATTTTAATTGATTTAATTAATCCGCATATGCAAAATATTATCGCGACGAAAATTATGCATGTTTAACTGAGTTAAATATATGAATAAGGTATTTTTGTCGCAATGGAATCAATTTAATCGATTTTTAATCGTAATCATTTAATAAATTATAAATTTCTGGTCGATTTATCTTTTTTTATTTCAACTATCACATTAACTCATAAGATAAACCGTTTTAACTGTAAAGTATGAAATGTTATCAACCGATCACCAAAGCAACAAGTTACGAGCGGTTCACACATTATAATTATTATTGGACATAACATGCGATGAAAGTCTTCTCAAGTTTATCATTGTTCGGATATAACTATTTTAAGGGTAATGATTACCAACTTGCCCAAAATTCTCCACTCATTTGACAAATTAGCGACTTGGGCAGTGTTCTGGGACAGCATGAAGATGTAGTAAGTAGTCTTTAGGTAAACAATGCGCACGCGTCACTCTGCCGCGCTACCGCCGCGCTCAAGAGATGGCGCCAGCGTCGAGCCTCAGACAGTTCGTGTCATGTCGTCATCGTTGTGGTGTAGTAGGCATTTCCTCCGTGTTTTTAAGCTGTGTAATATAGGTTTCGGCCGTTAGAACAGGCTTGAGTTATGTGAGGGCTTACATCTTATCTATTCTAAAAATATTCTCCATTATATGTCTTTTTAATTCGCTTTAAATCAATTGATACCTCCTACCCTCGTCGTCTGCTGCCAGCTGATGGTTGGCATTTCCCTCTCTTGCCCTCTCCGCATATTCGAGGAAAACCTCACGGAAACTTTAGCTATCAAAGACTTTTTCCCCATTTGCTAATGAATTATATTTTTATGCAAAGTTTTAAGAATCCAGTGTGTGATTTAAAGTGCTAAAGCTATTTTCTTGTACTTAAAGTTGGATTAACGTTGTGAAATTACGTGCCGAAAAGTTTTTGTGCGTTATTATGTGACATATCCAGATTCATGTGCTAAACTAGCAGAAGCAAAAAAACTTGCGTGCCCAACAGTTCCGTCAACAGTGAAGTTTCCTTTCCTTTACAAGCTTATTCCTAATTTTACGTGGAATTCAATACAATCGTAAGCGTTTTGTACTTAATCAAGGTAAATCATCCTCTGTGTATACATGATTACTTGCTGGTAATATTTTAGCCAGCGTTTACTAACCAATTTGCATTGAACTTTTTCCGAAAAAATTGTTCTAAATTAAGCTTTCCGAATGTCCATTGAGAGCGACTCCAATTAACGATCGCTTGTTCACTGCCCTGAAAGTAGCAGCTGCAGCGGCAGCCCTTCAGGTGCGCAACAGCACATGCGTTACTTAGCACTAGCACTGCCACACTTGCAGCACTAGCACTGCCACACTTGCAGCACTAGCACTGCCAAACTTGCAGCACTAGCACTGCCACACTTGCAGCACTAGCACTGCCACACTTGCAGCACTAGCACTGCCACACTTGCAGCACTAGCAATGCCACACCGCAGCACTAGCCAACTAGCACCGTCTGCTGCACGCCGCAGCATTAGCGTCATATACAGCACGCTATATCACTCAGTTCACCAATAATAAAAATAATAACGATGAGACAGTAGAGGTGTGGATGTCGTAATCCGTCTAACTTGGCTTCAAGTTCCAGCACAGCCAATGCCTGTGCTGCAGTAGCTAGATATCCTATCCTTGTTGCCAGTCACTAAAATTATTCGATGACTTGTTTAGGACTTATCCCAAATAAAGCATTAATTCGAATACCCTAAAATCGATAATTTTTGAAGGATTCTTCCCAAATAAAGCAGCAATTCAAATACCTGTCCCATTTTCTGTTTGCCAGGCATACAAGGATTTAGCTTATTTCTCTAAATTTTCGTCTTCGTAAATTTAATTTCATCAACTGGTCTTTTAGTCGGGTTAATCATTGCAAACTTTCTTTATGCCCTTATTTACTATTAACCATACATGATGAATTAAAAATTGCTTTCGTTTCAAATGTCCTGCCTCACGTTTCAGAGGAGTCATGTGAGATACACGTGCTTTATTTCCCGTTGAATGTAAGGGCCCCCGCCACATGAGCTCGTCGTGCCTGAGACATGACTCACCCTGGGGCATGTGACACGAAATGCCCCTCAGTGCCCCGCCTGGGTCAACCATCCTGCCCGTACAGGGGGCGTGATAGTGTTGTTCGTCTGTGTCATGCCACCGTGCCGGCCTAACATACGCGGCATTGACACGTGCAGCACTTGGACTAAGACGCACAGGATAGAGACGGTGCTTTACAGGAAACAGATGTGCCATAGCAGCTCAAACACGTGTCATAACTGGACAAAGACGCACCATAGTGTGTCACGATTGCCTCTGGACGGACGGGTAAGGCAGTATGACCGGAATGTGACGCACTCAAACTGCATGGTAACGCTGTTACAAGAGGCACAGTCACGCATCACCGCCGCACAAGCGCAACTCTTGATGACAAGGACGCTTTTGAGAGGAATACATACTTGCCTAAGTAGGATTAATAAACAAATGAAAAGGATTAACACACACAAGAGTAGGATTGAGACACACATGAGTAGGACTAAGACGCATCGGAGTGGGAACAGGACGCACTTGTGTAGGATTGACGTGACAGGCATCCTTCACCACGCATGAGAGATCGCGGCAACTGACAGTTAGCAAGCACATGGAATCTTATGAATATCAGTGAACGCTTCATCAACTCACTTGACCATTTACGTAGACTTGAGTAAAAGTAAATCAGTTGCCGCACTAGCTTTGTTTGCAACATGGGAGAGCTGCAGGCCACTATCGAACTCTACCTGCACCTTCATAAGTTCTACAACGTCGACCTATTTCAGAGAGGGTGAGTGTTTTATCAAATGCTGTTTCACAAAGTTTTTGTGGTTTGCTATCTTGAATTGGAATCATTGTCAAATCTTATGATCAGCTAATTTCTGTGTCAAGAAACTGTCCGTCAATTGTTAAGTATATAGACTTTAATTCCTCCGGAAAAAGCTGCGCTCATTACGCTTTTATACAGCTTGTCCTCTCGAGTAACGAGTCGATCCTCGACTGGTCTTTATACTGTAAATACATTGTATAGACTTTCTTTCATTACATTGAAAATTATATTCACGCACCTTCCTATCTAATGAAGTTTTTCATAACTTCACCTATTACTGGACGGTAATTAGATGACGATTAAAGGCATCGATATCGTTTGATTAAACAGTAAATTATATCATTCACCCGAGAATTAAATGAGCGAAGATAATGACGAAAAATTCACCAAGTTTTCGACAATACGGTTGGAATCTCCGTACAGTTATTAACTGCCTAGTGTGTCTGAACAGCGCCTAATTTTTCTCGTATTATCTTGAAATGGTTAACTGGTTGTTCCTGTTTCACCTAAGCTTCTTAACCGTAAATTCTTTTATAATATCTACCCAGTATATTTAGTGGCACGGATTGATTATTAATGCTTGCTAGACTTTCGATGATAGAGTACGTCTTCAGAACGGTTATTTTCTCGTCACCTTTACTTTTAACTTCATGGTTAACATGGAGAGTGGGGATAGTCATATAGTGGTCGAATCTATCGGCACAAGATAATTGCATGGTGATTAGGTGTCGAATTAATATGGTGATTAATTAATGTTGTATGTTAATTAAACGATTTTAAAATTACTATTTCGTGAGAACTTTATTGTGAGGCAATAGTTATTTTGTTATTTTATTATGAATAATATGCTATCGAAACGATAGTTAAATGTAATTTAAACGACTCTTAAATAACATCGGAAATATGATTAGGTATTGATTAGCTGAATAATAGTTGGATGGTATGTATACATAAGTAAAACCACCCATTCCTCATGCAGGTACTACCAGATTCGAGTGCATCTCAAGTCAACAAGCAAGTTACCATCCAAGACGGAGACCATCCTACCACGTAGTAACGGTAACTAGTGGTACCACAGTAACTTTAGTAATCTATAACCTGCATTACCTATAACCCGTAGCACAACTGTAACCCCTAGCCCGCTATAACTGTAACCTCCTACCGCGAGTAACTGTAGTTGGTCGAAACCTTTTCCAAGCAGAAAAATTCACTTAGCATAAAACTTTACAACCAAGACTATACCTTCGGTGACTGTAGCTCAGTGGTAGCGGCACCGAGATTATGAGAGGTAGTCGCGGGTTTGAGCCTCTGGAAGCTCGGTTCATTTCTGGTGTCACTTGTGGGTAGCCGTCGAGGGCGGTGCTTCAGCATGGTCTTTTTGGTGGTGCCCACTAGACGAACTTTTAGCTTACTGTACAATCTACGCGCTGCCTATATGACCTTAAAACAATGCATGGCCTCAATACTCTCTGTTGGTACTGAAAATTTGGAGTCGAGCATGTCGTGTCTTGTTGATTTGCAACATATCGGTTACTTTATATTTAGTTAGTAGCACTTCTCTTTTGACGTAAAAAGTATATAGCCAAAAGGACATTTTCAGAATTGTTTAGTATCTTCAATTGCTATTCTTCCTTTCTAAGGCTGACCTAGCTCCTAATATAGTTTGTGATTTCACTCGCGGTTGAAGTGATGCGTGACCATCAGTAAGAGTAATAATAATATGTATCAATATTAATACACAAATGATATGTGCAGCCCCCAGCAACACAAGTCTGATAGCGCCGGCGTACGCGCTAAGCGGCGCGGCCGTGAGCAAGACGTTCCAGATCCTCTACCGCAACGAAGAAGTCCATCTCGACGACCACATCCACTTCAAGCTCCACCTCATCGTCGACTCCCTAAAGGTCTCGGCTCTCAAACAATTTTACTGAAAAATAAAATTATTTGTTACCCACTTTCCAACTATATTAATTTATGTTGTATTCCAAACGCACGCAACTTTCCATGCGTGCGTTTGGAATACAACTACAACTTCCATTCCACGCAAACTTTCTAGAATTCATTCGAAACTCAATTGACGAGTGTCTTCTGAAAGCAAAGTCGATGCTAATTATATGTGAAGGGGGAATATTCTATATAATAACGAAATCCTATAATTATATCCCGCCTCAGTACCTATCTTTATAATGCTTCAACCTATCTTGGTGTTTCACTTCTATGTTAAATGTTCGAACTCACCATTCCTACCAGTCTATCATTTGGTATAAAATGGAATAGGCTTTTTCCATCTCCATTATTTGGGTATGAAATAAAAGTATGTATTTTCATCATTGATTAATTACGATTATAACAGTGAGGATAATATCGCCATGTGACACCTCAGGTGACGGAGAACATATGAATATGATTATAACAGTGATTGACTATAACAGTGATGATTATAACAAAGATTATAACACATAAATACGATTATAACAGTAAAGATAACATCGCCATTTGTCACCCCAGGTGACGAAGAACATATATATATACGTATGATTATTATAGTGATTGACTATAACAATGATTATAACACATATATACGATTATACCAGTGAAATAACATCGCCATGTTACACCTCAGGTGACGGAGAGTCTGGAGCGCGCAGAGCTGCAGCTGCTCGTCGAGCTCTGGTTCACGGAGAGCTCGTTTGGTGCCGACCCTCTGAGCGGCGTCCAGTGCGTGTCTTCCCGCACCCTGAACCTGCAGTTCTCCCCCAGCAGGTGTGTNGTGGTGTTGCAGGGGGCTACACCACCACCTGCCGGTGCTGTTAGTGATGTAACCCTGATGTGTGGTGTTGCAGGGGGCTACACCACCACCTGCCGGTGCTGTTAGTGATGTAACCCTGATGTGTGGTGTTGCAGGGGGCTACACCACCACCTGCCGGTGCTGTTAGTGATGTAACCCTGATGTGTGGTGTTGCAGGGGGCTACACCACCACCTGCCGGTGCTGTTAGTGATGTAACCCTGATGTGTGGTGTTGCAGGGGGCTACACCACCACCTGCCGGTGCTGTTAGTGATGTAACCCTGATGTGTGGTGTTGCAGGGGGCTACACCACCACCTGCCGGTGCTGTTCGACTACTTCCACCTGTCGGCTGTCACCCTGACTGTGCACTGCGCGCTCGTCTCACTGCACCAGCCATATATCAAGTTAGTGTCGTACGCTAATTTACACATCGTAAACAACTTGTTAAGTACCTCATTTTAACTCGTTTATTAAGCTACTTAAACTACGTTTAGAAATGATAAGCGGAAATATGTTGATGTCGCTTACGTTATCAAGGTGATGACGTTTGCGATATTGGAGACATTACGAGCGCACCTTCGTCGTAACTTGTCTTCTCAGAAGAACTTGATATCATCACATCATCATACAACTCACCATTATCATGTGAATCTCCGTCGTTGCTCCTTCCCTCATCGCTAAGGTTGCACGTGATTATACGTACAACTGATACGTTGTTCGTAAGCTCACGTATCTCGTGCCTAATACATCATGGATTCATAGATATACGATATAACACATACCTGTCTTCGATATGCGATATAAGCATATAACATATACCTGTCTTCGCGCGCCTGTAAAGTTCAAGCACGTATTCTCCTCGATCGCTGTTATAATTTATTAATTAATATTTACTTCACGCAAAACTTAAACCCCAATATAAAACCCAAATGTTGGAGGAACGCATTGAACTTCTTTCCATCCCTCTGCCAGTCCTGGACAGAATTAAATGCATCATCTCCAGCTTGGCTGAATTTTGTCCCTATACTTGACCATAATTTTATCCACTGCATTATAAGCTGCACCCGTCGCACCACTTCTCATATCTACCAGCCACACTTTTAGGGAAATAAAGGATTTGATATTGTTATAATTTTGTGTTTTTGTTATTTTAGTTTACATGCCTGCAACACACCAAATCCCTCATAAAACGACCTGTAACTCATGGGGTTTAGGGTTGAATTGCCCGTAAGTATCAATTTGGGTTGAATTTACCCAAAAGGTTCAATTCGGGCTGAATTTGGCCAGAAAGTATTAGGGTTCATCGAGGGTTGATATCGCCCAAAGAGCTGTAGTAATGTTGAAGTTCTGCTAGGGGTTCAATTGAGAGTTAGGTTCTTCATAGGTTACATGCCATGCAACCTCATGCACATCTCTCGCACTGTTTAACGTAACTCTATAACGTAACTCTATATGGCGTAACTCTATATAACGTAACTCTATAACGTTATAGTTAGCAGTGGACTCCAGCTGTATAGCAGTGGTCACACTTGTATAACATAACTCACCTGTATAACATAACTCACCTGTATAACATGACTCACCTGTATAACATAACTCACCTGTATAACATGACTCACCTGTATAACATAACTCACCTGTATAACATAACTCACCTGTATAACATAACTCACTTGGATAACATAACCCACCTGTATAACATGACTCACTTGTATAACATAACCCACCTGTATAACATGACTCACTTGTATAACATAACCCACCTGTATAACATGACTCACTTGTATAACATAACCCACCTGTATAACATGACTCACTTGTATAACATAACCCACGTATAACATGACTCACTTGTAAAACATAACCCACGTGTAACACAAGCTCTCCCTAACGCCCGCTTGCTCTCATAGGAAGAGTATCCTGAACCTAGTCAATGACTGGTGAGTGCTTCTTTTCCCTGGTCAGTGTGCGTATCTTTCAAGTTTCTATGTATACTCGTGACTCATTAGTGAACTGCGTTCATCGCTGACAACCTCATGGATCATCATTATTGGCTGCATTTTCAGAAGACTTTATCAGTTATTATCATCAAAGTCTTGGTGATATCAAATTAATGTTCTCGTGAACCCGAGTTTCGGGATCAAAAACTGCGCGCTGGAATCCCGACATTCGCATTACATTCTTCATAAGCTGTGTTTCTTCTCTCGGTGTTTAATGGATCTTGAAACCCTTTTTATTCTTAGCGAAATACGTTATGACTTTTTTCAGATCATCGTCGATTTATGTTACAGAATGCATGCATGTAGCTTTGTCATTTTTGTCATTTTTAGATGCATATTTAAAGATCTCAACATTTCTGCTGCCAAATTTACCGTTCTATAGCAAAAGCAGGATATTTCCAGGTGTTCCGCAGCTCATAACACAACAGAGCTAAAAATATATGCATATTTTAAAAACCGAAACTCTTTTCTTAACGGTTCTATGTATTTAAATTCAGCATGTTTTTTTCTCAAATTAGTGAGCTTAATAAATTAGATTTTTTATTTTTGTATTCGTTCTATGAGTGTTATGAACGCACGCCCTAAAGGTACAAGCTTTATCTCGCCTTTCTTGAACTCTTACTTTGCATGGCATTTTGCTTGCTGTCCTGGCATCTCGCGCGATTGTTCGCTTGTATCGTACTAATTTGTTTACATTTGCTGTTTTAACTCCATATCTGTGTATGAATCATGGGAAGTAATGTAGCGGATGGACCACAGAACTTTTTTTATTGCCTTATCTTCATAATCATGCCGTCTTTTTGATCACAAAGTTTCATTCAAGTCTAGTTTGATATTTCAGTTGCTTTCCCTTCCTGTTTAACAACATTAGAATTAGCTTAACATGACTGCTTGTCTCATCCTACCTTTTCGCTTGGTTATTAGTAAATAGCTTTCAACAATTATAGTCTTAGACTTCACAAACCTTTTGACATTACCTTTGAATTTAGACACATCGATCCCTGATAGTTGCCTTTCGATGGTTTCTTTAACCGTAGTGAGTTAATATATTTTAATCTTGTTTTCATTGTATTTTTGCATAATTGTGGCTAACTTACTGTACGTTGTTGGTGAAAATGAAGAAGAGCTTTGTGTTGCAATCTGTGTGTTTTGTTGCAAGCCCACACAAATTTGCTGTGTCTTGTTCCCTTACAAATGTGCTGTGTTGCAGCTGTGTCACGCTCACACAAATGTGTTATGTTGCAGCTGTGTTACGCTCACACAAATGTGCTGTGTTGCAGCTGTGTCACGCTCACACAATGTGCTGTGTTGCAGCTGTGTCACGCTCACACAATGTGCTGTGTTGCAGCTGTGTCACGCTCACACAAATGTGTTATGTTGCAGCTGTGTCACGCTCACACAAATGTGTTATGTTGCAGCTGTGTTACGCTCACACAAATGTGCTGTGTTGCAGCTGTGTCACGCTCACACAAATGTGTTATGTTGCAGCTGTGTTACGCTCACACAAATGTGCTGTGTTGCAGCTGTGTCACGCTCACACAAATGTGTTATGTTGCAGCTGTGTTACGCTCACACAAATGTGCTGTGTTGCAGCTGTGTCACGCTCACACAAATGTGTTATGTTGCAGCTGTGTTACGCTCACACAAATGTGCTGTGTTGCAGCTGTGTCACGCTCACACAATGTGCTGTGTTGCAGCTGTGTCACGCTCACACAATGTGCTGTGTTGCAGCTGTGTCACGCTCACACAAATGTGCTGTGTTGCAGCTGTGTCACGCTCACACAAATGTGTNGGTTAGGTGGTGAGTGGTTATGTGGTGAGTGGTTATGTGGTGAGTGGTTATGTGGTGAGTGGTTATGTGGTGAGTGGTTAGGTGGTGAGTGGTTATGTGGTGAGTGGTTATGTGGTGAGTGGCGTTATGTGGTGAGTGGTTATGTGGTGAGTGGCGTTATGTGGTGAGTGGCGTTTTGTGGTGAGTGGCGTTATGTGGTGAGTGGCGTGCCTTATGTGGTGAGTGGCGTGCCTTATGTGGTGAGTGGCGTGCGTTAAGTGGTGAATGGCGTGCCTTCAGTGGTGAGTGGCGTGCCTTCAGTGGTGAGTGGTGTGCCCTCAGTGGTGAGTGGCGTGCCTCCAGTGGTGAGTGGTGTGCCCTCAGTGGTGAGTGGCGCACCCTCAGTGGTGAGTGGCGCACCCTCAGTGGTGAGTGGCGTGCCCTCAGTGGTGAGTGGCGCGCCCTCAGTGGTGAGTTGCGTTCCTTCAGGGGAGAGTGGCCTGCTCGTAAATTCCCAAAGATGTTATCGTACGTACGAACAATTCCACAAGTTGTTGTCGTACGTCAGAAACACAATTACAATTCTACAAGCTGTTGTCAACTTGTCGTACGTCAGAACAATTCCAGAAGCTGTTGCAACAGGGGGCCCAATAACAATTCCACTAAACTGTTGTCGCACACAATGAACAACAATTCCACAAGCTGTTGTCGTATGTCAGAAGCTCAATTACAATTCCACAAGCTGTTGTCGTACGTCAGAACAATTCCACAAGCTGTTGCAACAGGGGGCACAAGAACAAAATTCCACAAACTGTTGTCGTACACAATGAACAACAATTCCACCAGCTGTTGTCGTGCGTCAGAAGCACAATTATAATTCCACAAGCTGTTGTTGTACGTCAAAACAACAATTCCACAAATTGTTGTCGTACACAATGAACAACAATTCCACAAGCTGTTGTCGTACTTTAAAACAATACCATAAGCTGTACTCATACGTCAGAGCAATAACATGGCATGTTAAGGTACGTCAGAACAATTCCATGACATGTCACCGTACGTCAGAACAAATGTACGAGATTTTATTGTACGTCAGAACAATTCCATGACATGTTATCGTACGTCAGAACAAATGTAAGAGATTTTATCGTACGTCAGAACAACTCCATGACATGTTATCGTACGTCAGAACAAATGTTTGAGATTTTATTGTACGTCAGAACAATTCCATGACATGTTATCGTACGTCAGAACAACTCCATGACATGCTATCGTACGCCAGAACAATTCCCTGACATGTTATCGTACGTCAGAACAGTTCCATGACCTGTTATCGTACATCAGAACGATCCGATTACGTCTTATCGTACGTCAGAACAATCCGATGACATGTTATTGTAAGTCTTAACAATTCCATGACATGTTATCGTACGTCAGAACAATCCCATGACATGTTTTTGTACGTCAGAACAACTCCATGACCTGCTATCGTACGTCAGAACAATCCCATGACATGTTATCGTACGTCAGAACAACTCCATGACCTGCTATCGTACGTCAGAACATTTCCCTGACATGCTATCGTACGTCAGAACATTTGCATGACCTGCTATCGTACGTCAGAACAACTCTATGACCTGCTATCGTACGTCAGAACAATTCCCTGGCATGCTATCGTACGTCAGAACATTTCCATGACCTGCTATCGTACGTCAGAACAACTCCATGACCTGCTATCGTAAGTCAGAACAATTCCCTGACATGCTATCGTACGTCAGAACATTTCCATGACCTGCTATCGTACGTTATAACAACTCCATGACCTGCTATCGTACGTCAGAACAACACGGTGCGGTGTGGCGGGGGCGGCAGCGGCAGCAGCTCATGGCGCATGTCGCAGGCTCGCTCGATGCACCGCACCATCTGCACGCTTCTGATGGCGGCTAACACCGCCCTCACTGCCCACCTCGAGACCCTCATCGCTATACTGCCGCCCTGGGCATCAAGGGACTCCGCTGCTCACCAGGTACGTCTTGTATATGCATCTCAAGTCTGAATCATGACTCCAATGAATGTAATACAACGATGTAATATGTGTACAATGAATGTAATACTTACTATGTAATAAATAGCTCATAACACTTCATTTGAGGCTCTTTGCTTTCATGCCTAAGTGTCTCTCACAATTGAGCGCGTTATTTGAACATCAATCTTCGTATGATGTTGGTTTTACATCACCCAGCATCCGTCATTTAGACGAGTAGTCTCGGCGAATTGTTACGTGTGAACAGCACATGTCTGTAGGCCGTACCAAGTCTTTACCAGGGCATCTCTTGTTTGATTATAATTAGAAGTAATAATATATTTTACAGATATAATCAAGATTAGGCCTTCCCAATGCTGTTGGTATCTGAGGGCCTGGTAACGAAAGTTACTGTTAGTAGAGAAACGGTTGAGAGGTTCATTGTAGTGGCGTGCGTGGTGGTATAAAACTATTGTATAAATACTGGGAAACTTATTTATAACAGTTATATCCAGGGCAAGCTAGGGGAACCTACTTTATTGAGAGTTGGTTGCATTGGTTGCTAGAAAAAAAAGGTTCCCAGTAGAAATACGTGCAATAAAGTAGGTTCCCCTAGGTTGCCCTGGATATAACTGTTATATAAAACTATTTCATTCCAGCAGATCTTCGAATGAAAGCAATTAAGGTTTGATTATTTAACTTGTAAATTTAACTTGATTATCGTCCATCCACTGAAATTGAAATTATTGTAATTGTTTGAGTTGACATATGTGTCCATGCGAACTTCTTTAATCGAATTGCCTTTGCAATCCCGCGAAATTTGGCAAGAGATGGATTACGAAACCCTCAGCGGCAAGCTTTGCACACTCCATAATTCTTGAAGCAGTCGCTGCCAATGCACTCCGTAATTCTTCATATATTAAGGATCATCACGAGGCTGCTGGTTATTAATATATTAATATTGTGTCCATGTTAGAGCTCATCGACCAGTACGAGCACCTGGCCGCTGAGAGACACTCCTGCTGCTGCTAGTGGTGTAGGTGGTGCAGCTGGTGTTAATGGTAGTGGTGGTGGTGGTGGTGGAGGTGGTGAAGGAGTTACGTCTACAGTCCCAACGTCGTCCGAAGTCCCCTCGTCGACGCCCTCCGCCCCGTCCACTCCCCAGCCCACGAGACTCCGCGTCGACAACCTCTCCGATGTTGCTAAGGTGTGTTAATTATGGTGAACCTTGCTAATGACCCAGTGAACATTTACAGACACGTCAGCTTCTGATTTGGATTACCAGAAGCTGGGGCAACTCTAAATTCAACTTCTGATTTGGATTACCAGAGGCTGGGGCGATTCTAAATTTTGCTAAGGGGTGAACAAAGTTATTTTCCAACGTTTTTGTAACGAGAATTTTACCAATTCTTGGATGAAAAAGTTTTTATATTTCTACTAAATGCAGGAATGATTTGAGAATAAAATGCTAACGATATGACGACACTCCTGCTCCAGGAATGCTACTTCGCGCTGATGGGCAGCAGCCAGGCGCCGCGCATGGAGAAGCGAGGCTCGCAGAGGACCAGGGTCAGTTTTGAGTGTAGAGCTTTCCTGGCCTCCTATAGAACGTGTAATTTAGCTCACACCCATGTACAACTCATCACTTCTACAGAATTTATCTAAATTGTAACAAATCTTTAATGGTTATTCTTAGTTTGTTAAGATATTATTTGAATTAGTTATTTGATTTTGCACTTTTTTTTCGACGAAGTATGCATACGATGACACGATCATCACATTTCTATAAACTATGCAATCACGACGGTTCTTAAATATCACCAGAGCTAAACTTGCGATTACTGAGGATTAATTAATTTTCAAGGATCCATTCATTTAATACGAGGATTCATTTCAGCTCGGGTCGGACATTCAGCTCATTCACTCGTCCTATACTTAAGAGTGATACTCGATCACTCATAGGTGCCACTCATCACTTACTGCCTTCTCTGCCTCACCACTCACCTGTTCTCTTCCCGGCCACTCGCCCCACTCTTTGCCCCACCACTCGCCCCATTCTCTGCCCTGCCACTCGCCGGGTTGCGTGCTTGATTATCTCTCATAAACGAAGTGATGATACTAAACATTACCGCTACTACTAACGGATCACGAGATACTAGCCTATTGTTCAAATGATGATCACTTTGACCTTATGAGGAGTTTGGGAATTCATAGTCCCCGGTTACGCTGATGCGCCGCCATCGTCGTCCTCCGTCTCCGGAGGACGACGAAGCACACACAATATTGTCAATGTTTCACTCTTTTTCTAAACCATACAAGGCCTTGCGATGTATATATCATCGCAAGAAGCGAGTTTCCAACAATATTGTCAAGGTTCCACTCTTTTTGTGAACCATACAAGGCCTTGCAATGTATATATCATCGCAAGAAGCAAGGTTCCAACAATATTGTCAAAGTTCCACTCTTTTTATGAACCATACAGAGCCTTGCGATGAATATATCATCGCAAGAAGCAAGGTTCCAACAATATTGTCAAAGTCCCTCACTTTTTATGAACCATACAGAGCCTTGAGATGAATATATCATCGCAAGAAGCGAGGTTCCAACAATATTGTCAAAGTTCCACTCTTTTTGTGAACCATACAAGGCCTTGCAATGTATATATCATCGCAAGAAGCGAGCTTCCAACAATATTGTCAAAGTTCCACTCTTTATAAGCCATACAAGGCCTTGCGATGAATATATCATCGCAAGAAGCAAGGTTCCAACAATAATGTCAAAGTTCCACTCTTTATAAGCCATACAAGGCCCTGCGATGAATATGTCATATCCTTCACTGCAGACAGTAGAGTGCGAGGACGACTTCCTAGTAGCAGCTAACAGCGACATCGCGACGCTGTGCGCTGAGAACATCCTCCTGTGGCAGTATTTCCTCACTGTCGTCGCCGGCAGTGAGGCCGTACGACAACATCTCTCGCGCCAGCATCACGTCCAACGGGTAGACTATTATAATTAGTGAATATCATAACGATTACTAGTAAGCTTCATCGTTTAAATATTAATTTCCTAGGCACTAAATACTCGTCACTGGTAGTGATTGTGAATTAACTTTATACTGGGAATCTTTTCGCACAATAAAAATACATATGTGTTTAGAATTACTTAAAAATGGACCGAAAGTTGGTTTTCTTTGATAATTCTTTTTGTTATATTCACAAAGGCACTTTCGTTTCCATTCATTCTATACTCAATTTACTCTACAGTCGTGCATTTTTCGTCTTTATTTGTATTTATTTCATAGTCAAATATTCGTACTTTCTTCTAGACTATTTTACTGCAAATCCACCCATTCCTGCCAGTATTTCCTGTACAATCTAATGCATAGCTTTGAGAGCGACTTTGTTAATTGCTTTGTTCATTACGATTTTGTTCATTGATTGTTTGTACAACAAAATGCATTGCTTCGAGAGCGACTTTGTTTCTCAGGCCAAATATTGCACGCATATCGCTGCAGGTGAAGCGTTTCGCGGAAGCGTTCTTTGTTGTGGACAACCCGCGACCGTCCGCGACGGGCTGCTACGACAGCAACTACCAGAACTATGCTGCCGTCACCGACGCTGTGCGCCGCTCCCGATACTTCCATCTCCTGCCGTCTCTGCCCATAGAGTGCCCCGAGGTCAGAGACGCTGTGTACAGTAAGCCGCTTCTCTGACATTGATGAGATTCAATTTAATGTTGGTTCTCGAATGTCCCGTGGTCTGGTTGGCACGCACGCTTTAATTCGCACCCTCTCCATTTCAAGTTCCGCCATACGCAGTTCCTGTTCTCTTTTCTTGTCCTCTCGTGCAAGCAGTCTCTCTTCTCAACCAGCCTCTTCCTTCCTTCGCCGCTCTTCCTTTTCTAGCCGCTCTACGTCCGTTTTCAAGCCCTCCTTATTCTTCCTTCTCTCAGTCACGTACTTCAACAAGGCGCTGTCACTGAGACCTTATTCTTTCCCATCACGAACGAACATGGACTCATCCATTGCGTACAGTAATTTGAACTTTGCTGAATCTAAAAAGCAGCAAAAGGTTTGCAAGTTTACATGACGACTGTAACCGTCACAACACTGGGTTCATTACTGAATAATTAATCCACACAAATGCCGGCCTCCATTGTAATGAGTTCTATATTGGGTTCTCGTCTCTTCCTAATTTATTGACGGTAACTTCAGTTGGGTTCGGTTCGCGTTTATTAGAACTGATCCAAGCTCGTAAGTTTATTGAAGTAGAGTTGAGGAACTGCGGAGGGCAGCGCATCGGCGAAATAACTTACAATTCCTGCGAGCAAACACATAATTACTCAATTATTATAATAAACAAAAATTACACAAGACAATCATTGCGCAACTTCCAACTTTTATTGGACACAACCATTCATCCTCTACAATAGTTGATCTACGCGCTTTCATTTCACAAGGAATGATCAAATGATTTGAACTTAAGACAAGCCTCTTCTATCATTGGCTTGATGTTTCCATAACATCTGCTGTAAAATAATTGTAACTAAAAATTATTAACATCATCAAGTAAGCAATTTTCTCCATCAATGATTGACAAATTATTTTATTTGTTATGTTTGTATTGATGTTTCGGTGGCAGATGGACGGCGACGTGACATCCCTGCCTGTGGTGTTCGAGGACCAGTACCAGCACGTCGCTGAGTTTGCCAGGAGACGCTCCATAGTGAGCCGCAAGTCAGGTAATAGTGAGCCGCAAGTCAGGTAATAGTGAGCCGCAAGTCAGGTAATAGTGAGCCGCAAGTCAGGTAATAGTGAGCCGCAAGTCAGGTAATAGTGAGCCGCAAGTCAGGTAATAGTGAGCCGCAAGTCAGGTAGTGAGCCGTAATGCTCGAGTAGTAACATTAACTTTTTTCTTTACTGTTCACGTAATTTTCTTCAATTAAAGACGACATGAGCTAACATATTCTTCATAAGCTTTCATTCTATGAGTTACATTAAATGTTTTCTTGCATCACTGCTAAATTGCTTTAGCATTTATCGATTCAGCCATATATATCATTTAATTATATGTATCATTCAACCATATTTATAATTAATTATATGTATCTGTAGCTGTGCATGTATAAATGCTATACCCCAAATGTTACTGCTTTTTTTTTATTATTTTGCCATAACACAACTTTCATTTATTATTCCTATTCGATGGGCAGATATTCAAGCAATTTAATGCGGCTAGTGAAGAATTTGTTGTCCTCAATTTTCTCATTTTCACAATAAATTAATCATGGTTATTTTGTTCATTTTTAATTCATATTCTGGAAACCGTAGGTGCTGCCGCTCTAATGAAATAATTTCTAGTGAACTTCAACAGATTGTTTAATCAGCAAGACTCTTAGTTTCTATTGTGCACCTTGCGTCAAATTCTTCCCCCGAATAAAAACTTGACGTAATTTTTTCGTATAATTTCGAGCGTTATGAAGTTTGATTGACCATTTTTTCGCTGTTGCAGAGAACTACCTGAGCTCATCAGACGTGCAGCTGGCGATGGATCAGCTGGATTCCAACTGTGATAAAGCTGAACTGTTGAATCCTCCAGACGTGACAAAGCCAGAGCCTTCGCTCCAGAACCGCAATAGCTTGAAGCCTATCGAGTCGAGCAGATCTTCGACTCTGCTGCTAAAGCAGCGCTCAGTTAATCACGACACTTTGTCTCTGCCTTCGAATGGCAATCCGTCGTTAGTGAGCGCTTTGATTGATACCACGACTACAGTTCTTGATTTTGAGAACAAACACAGCGCCACTCTGGAACCGAGGGTAACAAGGTTTGACTTAAGTGCTAATAAATCTCACTTGCTCACCACCAATACGCTTCAGGGAACTGGTATCAGTTCAAAGAGCTATAACAAGCTGGTGTGGGATCTGCAAGATGATCGTACCAGAGCCCGAACTAAGGTCCGTTCACGCAGCAGCGACTCAAGAGTGTCGTCAGGTCACAGCCTCGGAAGCGGTGACGACAAGCCTCCTTTAAGCCCGTCGGACAGCAATGACAAGTTGCTAGTACCGAAAATGTCGCCGTACGACATGAGTAGAAGTAATAGGTTATCCAAAAAAGTCGTTGATTTAGATGACGAAGTCAAGCCTCCTCTACCGCCCAGAACCGACAAGATGCCAAAAGATTTTAAGCCACCCGTACCCCCAAAGTTACACAAGCTACCAGCTGCACGAAATAGCCTTAAGGAAAGATTGAAGAACAACTTACGTTTAGAGTTACGGTTACCAGAATCTCAAGGGTCTTCTTATAAACGTGCTAAGTTTAAAGTAAAATTGATACAGCGAGCTCAGCAGTTAAGATCTTCTTCCAATGAAAAGAGTGCTATCAAATATAAGAAAAGTAAGCATAATAGCAATTCAGATAACGTAATCTTGCTCAAGTATCGTAAGCTAGAACCATCACTAAGCATGCCCTACAACCTTGGTGCCAACACCCCGGGAAGCAACAGCACAGGAGGCGTAGATCAAGTCATGCGACACTCTCAAAGCACCTTGTCGATGCCATCGTTCTTATGGGACGCTGCTACAACCACGCCTCCTGGTATTGCAGAGTCCATGCCTGACCTGTTAGCGTCAGACTCAGAGTCTTCGTCAGACTCTAAACAACCTCCGCCTCCTGTGCCGAGTTCAAGACTACGCCCAGGTGACCGTAAGCGGCCAATTCTGTCCAACGTCGAAGTAGGTCTCGTTTCTGCCTCTGATCCGACTCTGATTGAGGTTGGAAAGCTCAAGAAGCAAATCGATGCCATGAATAAAGCTGCCAAGAAGCTCGCGTCGCCCGTCAAACGCAACGTGGACAGTTCAAAATCGCAGGTCTCTTTGCAGGGTTCGTCGTCTAATAGCGACATCACCTCAGAACAGAGTGGCTGGGTCTCCAACTCCAGCAGACACACGTCAATATCTACCAGTCCTGGCCAAGGCAGTCCAGGTATGGGCATAAAAACCTTTCACATACCCGACAGATTCCCTTCGACGGCATCTCATCACAAAAGTGACAGCGGTACTCCAGTGACGGTGTTTACGACCCTCAGTGATCCCCCTCCTACAAAATCCTCTACGCTAGGCAAGCACAAAAGTAGACCTATTGCTCAAAGTCCCGCTAGTAATCATAGAGTAAGTAAATCTGATTCCAAAGTTCATAGCCGCAAAGCTTCTCCCAAAGAAGTTTCGTATAAGTCTTCACCCAAGGATTGCACGCATCGTTCAGCTTCTAACGACCAACTTCAAGCAAATTCCAAGCCAAGTCCTGGTAAAAAAGAAGTTAAAAAGTCACAGTCGATGCACAAGGTTAACTGTAATCGACAAAACCACAGTATTTATGAAGAAGTTCCCATCCCTCCACCTCCCAAAGAATTTCAAGATCCGATGCCGGGTTTACGAGGTGCAATTAGAGGAGGTGGATTTGCTACTACAGGTAGATTGCCTCGAGAAGACCGTCATTCCAGAAAGCCAATTCCCATCATGAAAGATCGACCAAGAAGCGAAAGCCCTAAAACTGAAGCAAGTCGAGTTCAGTCTGAATCGAGAACAGGAAGCTTGGCAACGTCGTGCACCATAACGCCAGGGCCGAGTATCGATCTAGAAAACGATGACGTGTTAGTGTGTGAAAGTGTTAGTGAAGCCATTGACGACCAGACTGGTAGTGTCAAGTCGATGGACAAGAGATATGATAAGTTTCATTCACTTCCTTCTATGAGGCGTAAAACCTTGCCTCTTTCTACCATGACGCAAAGTCGACATGAACGAAGGAATAAAGAAAGGAAGCATCGACCGCAGCTTGATCGATTATCAGAACCAACTCCTACTAAGGTTAAAGCTCATTTCCAATGTAACGAAAGAAATCGTACCCAGTCTGCACCTCCTCCCGTCGTCGACAAGACAGACAATTCAATTGACTCTGCGAAAAGACGAGGCAGCCGAAGTGGCGGTCGTAGATTAGAGCCTATCCCTATCAAACCTGAACCCGTGACCACTCTCTTGGCAGACTCCAAGTGTACGTTGCTGGAGCTGTTTTTGGAGCAGCAAGGAGCAAGCGTGTGGGCCCACAGAGAAGCCCAGCGCGAGTTGTTGAAGGAAGCACAACGAGCTCTTCAGAGCGAGCAAGCGACTTTAGATCCGCGCTACTCTAGGAAAGGCATGAAGCTCGCAGATACAGGCAAGTCCAAAAGTGTTCGTATGGATGAGCCCAGAAAAGCGTCGGATCAGCTGACTGCCAAAATGAAATCCGTTGACATCTTAGAGGACATGGAAGCTTCTGTCGATATCCCGCCACCTCCTAAACCGCCTTCGCCCAAGTGAGTTTCAAGTCAAGGCACCTAAGGTCCTAATGTTGCCTAGACTTTGGCATGGAATTTCTATCTGATGTTTAATGTCCGCTTACTGGAATATTTTTGTCTTAACTTCGGATCTTTCTTATGAAGGGATCTTATCTATTATTTTATCGTTTTTCTTTGACATTACTTCAATGCAGCGTGAGACGTGATCGTGACGGTCGGCCAGAGGATCGCACGCGAAGTCGCTCCAGCGAGCGTCGGCCTGACAAGCTTAGCGAGTCTAGCCGGCTACCCGGAGCGGCTTGTCGGGTATTGCCGGAGGAGCGGCTGCGTATGGAGGACCCTCCACCTGATCTCCTGCCGCAGAAACTCACACCTCCTGTACCAGACACTCTGGCCTTCATCAAAGCCAAGGAAGAGTTCAAACAAACTATGAATTTCCAGGGCCTTTTGTACAGGTTGGTCAACCTCTTGTATTACCGCGTAGGTAATCTCCCTTTATATCGCTTGCAAATTACATTTATTCCTGCAAATTATATTCTTCATTGTAGCATGGTATTGTGTATATTTTGTATATCATCAGCCTTTGAGCATGCTTGCTCTTAGTTTATTCAGGTTGTTATAATTCATACAAATCATAAATTTTACCAACAAAAGTGCAAGTAAACTGCTACCACCATCTTTTAGGGACTAACTTGACGAAAAAAATTTCTGTCATCTCCCAACTTTCGTGCTCCATGAAGATATTGATAAACCAAACAGTAGTAAGTGAATTAAATGTCAGGAATACAATTAAAACCCTCTCCTCGACAGCGACTTCAGCGGCCTGGCGTCGACGGTTCCCTACTTCCACGTGAGCGACGAGTGCCGCGTGCTGTCGCCGGCAGGGCTGCACCTCATCGTCTGCGTGCACGGCCTGGACGGCAACTCTGCTGACCTGCGCCTCATTAAGACCTACCTCGAGATGGGCCTGCCGGGCGCCAACCTCGACTTCCTCATGTCCGAACGCAATCAGGTGAACACTCTTTTTGTGAGGTTGATATCGCGGTGACGTTTCAACCTATTTGCGGAACAATATAATGAACATTCTATTATGTATTGCCTAAAATAATGTGTACGTTTTTCTGTGGTGAAAGGGCGATACGTTCTCGAACATCGAGACCCTCACTGACCGGCTGGTGTCGGAACTTCTGTGTCACATCGACGCCTACAACCTGAACCCCAAGCGTATATCCTTCGTGGGGCACTCGCTCGGCAACCTCATCATCAGAGGAGCTGTGTCACATCCCCACATGAAGCCCCTCCTCCCTAAACTCCATACATTCTTGTCCCTCTCCGGCCCTCACCTCGGAACCCTCTTCAACAACAGCGGCCTCGTCAACATGGGTGAGATTACGTGTGCATTTAGTCTATGATTATTAACGTATCAGCAATTTCTTATGCATTCTTTAAATGATTCGATTTGAAATTTTTTTTTTGTCGTTTATTTCAAACTGTATTTCTATTCTCACTCACGTTAGGAACTATGGAAGGTCGAGGACATCTGTCAGGGGGCGAAGACACCTCCCATCCTAATTATTATTGTTTATTTCCTTTTGGACAGGTTATGTTGACTATTGAAAGGGAAAACTGTATGACGCTTTATTCCCTAGAAATATCTTTAATAAACGGCTGGGTTACCTATTTATGTAAGATCTTCTCAGTGGAACGGTATATGCTCGGCTAACTTCTTTCTCATCGAGTACTACATCTCTGTTATACATACGGCCAGCTGCTTCTTCCTTATATATTAAAATACCCCCGGGTTATAGATACCATTAAAGACACGGTAAAATCGCTCACTCTTGTTCTGACGACGAGTATACGGTCAACTTAGCTTCTAGGACGTCAGGGTGATTACTCCGGTCATATATGTACCTCCTGCGTTTCTTTTGATCCGTTAATAACACATCTCGCGGCAAAAGCTGAGCGGCACTAGCTTCTGCATGCGATTTCTTTCAGTGTTCTTCAGCATCAAATAATTATTTGGTCTTCCTGCTATTTTGATGAAAATTTTAAATTCGGTCTCAGATGGCATTGCCGAGAAGACGCAAGTGATTGAATAACCAGAAGGAAATTGTCAGTTAAAATCCTTACGATAATTCGCAGTTCTTCGAGGATTACTATTACTAGTTTAGCTAATGTTTTCAAAAAATTAAATTCTGTTTTCAGGAATGTGGTTCATGCAGAAGTGGAAGAAGTCAGGCTCTCTCCTGGAGCTTGCACTAAAAGATAGAGTGGACATTCGGCAGACGTTTCTCTACCGACTGGCGCAGGTTAGGACTGATCGTGTTTGATACGAACTATTGACAAATAACTTGTTGGACACATTTTCGTCTACTTATGAGCCACTACATATTTTTTAACTTGTCTCGAGTCATGAAGGGCTTGAACTCCGTGTCACACATCATCTTTTGAGACTAGTGCATAGCCATTTAATATTATTTGTTGAAGGTTAAGTTTTACTTTCACACACAGCGGTCGCAGTTGCATCATTTCCGCAACATCCTGCTGTGCGGATCGTCCCAAGATCGATACGTTCCACTTCACTCCGCCAGGATCGAGCTGTGCCGAGCAGCCGTCAAAGACACATCAGTCATGGGTCATTTATGCATGCATAACATTGGCTATATCCGCTAATTGCTATCGTATTTATGACTCGTTTTACCAACGATTATTTATATTTTTTAGAACTCTCTTAATTAATGAATAGAGGATCAAAATCGGGATGAATTTTACTAGATATATTAAATATTATTTAGATTTTTTCATCTCCATAACTCTCATGATAAATTTCTTCAATTGTTACTGGGTCTGTTTAACTTTTTAAGTCTTGAAGGCAGCAAAAATGACCTTTTGGGGTCTACGAAGCCTTAAATTCATTGCACACTAGTCTCAATTAGTCATCAGTTCTATTCATTTATGACAGAATTATAAATTTGGTCAGGCTCTAATTGGTCATATTTTCTTTTAAAATATACCCCTAATTTCTGCATGAAACAATGAATGTTGAGCAAAGGCAGAACCAAGTTCCTGTTAACTAAAATTTTGAATGCAACCGTACATATGATAATAAGATTATTTGAACTGAAGATGGAGTTGGTCTCCGGAACGTTTTCATTGAAGATATGGTGAATTTACTTGGCCTTTTCTTTGTTTTTCAACTCCCCCTAATAAAGATGATTTGCATGACGAAGAATGTGCTTGGCTTGCAGGCGCGGCGTACCGGGAGATGGTCTCTAACCTCCTGCAGCCCATCATCAGTTCCTCGAGCGTCACCCTCGTCAGGTTCGACATCCATCACGCGCTGCCCTCGACCGCCAACTCTCTTATTGGCAGAGCCGCGCACATCGCGGTGCTCGACTCCGAGCTCTTCATTGAGAAGTTCTTCCTCGTTACTGGCCTCAAGTATTTCAAGTAAACACTATGAACTCCAGATTTCCACCTGGAGTTTCGTGGTCTCCAAAGAAACAAGATACCCAAGGAAATGCCACATACCACCTGGAGTTTCGTGGTCTCCAAGGAAACACCACATACCACCTGGAGTTTCGTGGTCTCCAAGGAAACACCACATATCACCTGGAGTTGCGTGATCTCCAAGGAAACATGATACCCGGCAAGCACGATGCTCCGACCCGGTGTATAGATCTCTTCCAGGTTCACAAGATGCTACTTTAAAAAATGCACACAAGACTCCTTTTTATGACTATCTAAAATATTTGTTCGTTTCGTCTTCTATCCTGTTAATTGTCCATTGATATTTGTTCTGTGATTAGTTTTTAGTCGCCGTTAAAGTTTCGAGGCCGAACGAACTCGGTAGACATTGATGCCATTATATTGTGTTTATTCGGATTTCTTATTAGCTTCGGAAATAATTGTGCAACATGCCTTTCATTGTGCCGAGATATACCAAGTTGTTCAATGCAAGATCATATTTTGTTTGGCGTTGGAATGAAAAGTTCTGAGACCTTGTCTCTGTTTGAGTGATGACCACACGTATAAGGTGCACAAACTGTCATCCCATAATGACATAACCTACCCGCACGATAGCCATTCGCCGTGCACGAAAAAAAAGCATTCTGGCGAGCGATTATGCATGTTGCGTTCACAATATGTACCAAAAAGACCTCGATGAAGATATTTCTTTCTGATGTCTCAGGAATTTATGTTTGTGTGCTGTTGTAATATTCCGAAGAATATAAACTTCTTTATTTGTGAATCACTAGTAAGGCATGTCCGACCTCTCATTGATAGAGTGCAAAGTGCAGACAAAGTTCTGCACATCTTCTACTTCGCCATGGCCTGGAAATAATTTTAAGTTTGAGTGCGTATTCAATTATTACAGAGTGAACTGATAAATGTGAATAATTTGCATGAAAGAAGTAACAATTGGATTTGCCATGCCATAATGAATATAATTACAAAACACTTCAACGTAATCAACCAGATATGAAAGTAACATTGTTCCCATGGCGACCCCCAAGTTCTCTAGGTCAATCTAAGCCACAAATTCGTTCTCAACCCGCGTGAGGCTGTCTATCCTGTCGCGGCTCGCAACAGAAATATCTTGTACTCGTCCAGAGGATTTTTTCTCATATCTTCCTGAATAGTTTTATTTAAATTCTCTCTTAATACGTGGGAAAATGTCTTGGTGGTTTTTTAAATTTAATTTTTTCATTTCATTTTTATTCTAAATAATAGTGAGTTCCAATCATGGTTTCATGAGATGCTTCAGATTGCATGCAGTATCACGTGTACGGTAATGATGGCAACAAAGTAACTTGTCTCATGTAGACTAATTGCAATGATAATTAATCATTTTGAACTCGCTAAATGACTTCAACACATGCATGAATACTTCTACACATGGTCACTTCAACACATGCTGGCTGGTCTAGCACACACAGACTACACATCGCAGCACGTGCAGCTCGTGCTTATAAGTACACAAGTCCAGATGTATTTGTAGCGCAGAAGTACGTTTGAAATACAGAAATACATTTGCGGCGCCTTAGGGCTTGATAGACAAGTTATGTCCTACATGTTTGGAATGTAGAGGCACAAAATTAATTTTTTATACAAGTGATGCATTCAGTGGGACTTTTCACGTGAATGTATATAATCTTGATAATTTCCTGTTAGATCTGCTCAGAACTAAACTTGGAAGCAAGTGCAGCAAATGTGTCCAGGGGCAGAATCTTGCTTAGAAATTACGCAATCCAATAAGGTGCCGACTAACAATCATTATAGTTTTAGAAATTCTCTAGATTCTATTAATACAGGTGTGTGTGTTGCGCGTACAGACTCGAGTAGCTGTTCTTTCTTTTGTAAACTATGCCGGCTTTCCTTTACTACGAATTTATATACATAATCATCTCAATTATTTATACGATGACATGATGGGTGTTATTTCAAAGATGAAGGTCATAAACGGCCGCTATTTATGGATGATATGTATAGTGAAGAGGTTATTGCCGTGGTTGGTTATTTCTTGGGGATGATGTGCGCCGTGGTTGGTTATTTATTCTTTGTTGCTATTGCTCTAATGATGTTCTTTTATCTAAATTTTTCTGAACTCGTGTCTAACAAGGCCTAAAAGGCTAAAACAATAGCAGGTATAGCATACACAGGACAACATTTCCTAAATCGTATGCATGCCATTCTTCAATATCTAGTAGGATATGCGCTGAAATTTGGCCTATGGCTTAGATATTTAAACGGCGAGAAATAGTCTATCTTGATATACAATTTTAAACATATTCTCTAGATTTGCAAATGTTTTTGTGGATCAACGTTTTGTTCTAAAAGTCAGTGCTAAAAAATTTAAGAAGAGTTACAAGCGCAAAAGAAATTTTTCTTCAATTTTTATCGAGATTTTTCCTATTTTATTGATAAAACTTATGCCAGTAAATTTGGAACAAAGGTTTTTTAGCTACTCTTGGTGCTGTACAGTCACGTACAAGCTGTGATGAGCTTCCTACTCAAGCAAAAGATCACTTAAATTATTTAGTTCTTGTTCCAAAACGTTTTATCTTGGAACAGACAAAATTATTGCACCAAAGACGCTGAAATTTACATTTTGATTATTATTAGGATGGCTCGTTATGTTTGCTATGTTACATTATAAAAATGTACTGCATGTTCGTTATTTGAATGAATATTGCATTGGATGATCGATCCTCCACGCCCCCTGAAGCACCTCAGTGGCGTGGCGTTCCTTGCGACGCACACTTAACATTCAGACACAACTTTGATTCAAAACTTGAATTGCTCTCTCATTTTTTATGTTATGTCCATGTTTGATTTTTTTATTAACATTTTTATGCCCACTGTCTGCACGGCCGAGATATTAGACTCAGCGTTTCCATATTAATTTATTATGAACGGAATGGAGTGGTATCACCGAATTAAACATGTCAATGAGTGCTTCATTAAAGTAGAAACTCTTTTACAATTCAAACTACGATAACTGTCGCAAGTGCTGTCTGCGAATTTATTGTCCTTTGCAATACTCCCAAAAGTTCGAATTAATCATCATGGAATTCAAAACTGAATTTGAAATGAATCTTACAAAAATGTATAATGTGTTGCAGATTCTTTTAATTGAAGTGACGTTGATCGTAGCAACGAAATTCGCGTGCAAAGTACGAACTCCTCGACGCCAAAGTAGATTTTGTTGGTGCTGAGAGCTTCGCTTGATATGAAGTGACTGTTATTTTACAGGGTACTAGTAGCATCATGACACAGTTCTAGTCACGTACTATCTATTTATAATGACGCATAATAGTGACATGCTTATGTTTTAGAGTATTTAGTGTATGAAGCTATTAGGTATAAGGATCTCAGAAGCTTATTGTTGGTTGAGCAGCTCTTGCTCCTCTCGCGCCTCCGCATTTCGTGTCTTCCTCAGTTTTATGCGCCGAAATATTGGCAGGATAATAAAAGTTTACTTTTATAGGATGTCATGGCGGCTCTCACTCTTGCTGCTCCTTCTTTTCAGTTCCTACCCTAACAAAATTTAGAGTCGTCCCAGCTTCTGGTACTCCAAATCAGAAGCTGACGCGTCTGTAAATTTTCTTCAGGTAGCGACGGGACTAATATTCTCATTCCTAAGCTCTGCACATTCCCGATTCGATGAGAACGCTATAGATTTCAGTCTACAATGAGTCAATCATTCATGACAATATTCTAGCCGAGGAGTATTATTTTGAGCAGTAAAACTTAATGTTTGTGTACATCAGCGTGAAATATTATGTTGTCAATGCATTGTGACTTGATATTATCTTGTGTTCTCAAGTTGTAACCTGAGCGGCGATTGCGACATTCCCATTTAGATGTTATGAACTTATGAACGGTGTTACGCTGATCACATTCATAAAGTGTCCACGAAGATTCCAGACTTAGTCGTCATTATTGTTATTAATTATTATTCATTTTACATAATTGATCGTAATTAACTAAGTTCAGTGCACTAGGAAAAGACTGAATTATGTCTGCACACTGCAATTTCTCATGCAGTTGTTATTTTGAACTTTTTTCGGGTTTTGAGTACACAATGTATGATGGTATGCTATCTAATGGGACCATTACATCTTTGTGATTCTTTCTGTACATGTTGGCTTATAAAATTGGATGAATTAGACAAAAGCTGCTAAATGAAGAAATGCTTCTTTGCGTAGTGTTGAGTCAACCTCACAGCTCGAAAGCTTGCTTAGATATTTCAAATTTAACTGGCACTAAGCATCGTCCCTTGATAATTACTCACAGAGACTTGTGATTTCCTGGAATACTTTGTGCCAATTTAGCTCTATGGTAGCCAGGAGATTTCAACTTATCATCCTTGCAACAATTATTGAAGCTGCTGCGTTGATGTAGAGAAAAGTGCTGGGCAAAAAGTTTCTCGGCAACCTCATTGATTCCCACCAGAAAGATAAAGAATTTATTCGTTCTCCTATTAAAGATCAATTGTGTGACACATTACAGCTCCCTGGTGTAGCTCATTACCGCTCTCTTGTGTAGCTTATTACATCTCACTGGTGTAACTCATTAGATGTCACTGGTACGTGTAGCTCATTACAGCTCACTGGTGTGACTGGTGTAGCTCATTACATCACACTGGTATATAACGCTGATGTAACGTGGTTCAATAGTTGCGGATGTGCAGGTTACGAAGCGCGATATTTATTCCTTAATTTAATCACGTGAAGCTAATGATGAGGTAACGAGTTTGGTTATATTATTATTATTTTAGCCTTAGTAGTAAGTCATGGTTTCCTTCAACGAAAAACTGTATTGTTACTTCGTATTCTATAAACTAGACATATTCTCCTGTGCACCACATTCAAGAAATGCTCAATATCTGCAACGATTAGCAGACACTCCCCGAGATTATGATATGATGTATGGTGTTCTTCATGGAGATTTTATTATATTATGCATGAGGAACCGGGGCTTGACGCGTCGTGTCATGTGAGGAAGCATTTCTATCTCGCCTTGATTGATAGTTTTTATTTTGAATTATGCGACTACATTTTCGTGCGATAGGTTAGTCACATTTCAGTCTAGATTCTTCTCAGGTGAGCTTACATTTAATTGTGACCTATACTGCTGCGATTTAATGTTCATGTTTACGTCACTGTATCGTGCAAGCAGTCATGGTAACCGTAATCTTGTTCATGTACTTCCATTTTTCGTTGCGTCTTCTTTCACCGTTACTCCAGTGCAACTTTTAACAGGCACGTTCACATCACCACGATAATGGTGGCGAGCATATTTTTATGCCACACAGGATTTCTGAATTTTTATGTTAGAAGAAACCACAAAAAGTCGGAGGAATTTTATGAAATAAAATTAAATAGCAGGAACACAGCACGCGTTAGCAACTACTAATGTAAATAGAAATGAACCTTTAGAGAGTAGGACATGGTGTATATCGCTTATTTTGAAGACCAAAGAATTCAGGACTGATTCACGACCTCGTGTTTCCCATGAATCCTAGTGTATTGTAATTTGTAAATATTCATCCTGTTGCAGTACGAAAAGTCACCAGAAAATGACAATTTATGAAGAGAGCGACGCGCCCGACCTGTGAGGCTCTGATCGAGTCTCGCTCAGCAAGCTTTAGGCAAGAGAAGCCCACCGCGCTAAAGAAGACGCATCAAACATTGTGATATTCACAGTATATTAGAAACCTGATGGACATATTTACTATCCTACATCTGCCTGCAGAACAGAAGTATCATTAACTAATTGTTTGGGGAGCAGGAATAGCCTTAGCCACTGCACAGTCTTGATTCAACACGATTCAGGCAGTTCAACTATGAGCGGTAAACAGAACGTTCAAGTTTACCCTTCAGTCTTTGAAATCATCTCCGTACTACTGAGAAAGGCGAACATGCACTTGCAAAATTCTATCCGATGGAACATTTGAAATCAATTTTTAATTTCAATTTTTAATGGTATTTCCGGATAAGTAAGAACAAGTGTATCCGATATTAAATTTAACGAAGCAAGCCAGTAGCCACAGTCAATGCAAATAGTAACACAGGAGCATGTACTTTAGCCAAGTCCTTGAAACGGTGCATCAAAACAATAGGAAACTGCCACTACCGCAACAACAATTAATTAGGATGAATGTGGTCAGGATAATAAGAACTCTCCGTGAGGAAAAAATACGGTCCCGTAGCATGACAAAACTTATTGCTCTCTTCTTCAGAGTTAATAAAAATTAATTTAAAAAGAAAATAAAAGATTTTACCACAAATTTGTTGCGTCGGATTTGCATGAATTCCATCTATGGTACATGCAAAAACTGAGCTATTAGGACAATACCTGTCCGATAGACGTGGAATGGCTTATCTGAGGCAGTTCGCAATACAACTTTCAATGAACGCTCTCGAGAAAACATCTACTTGCAAAGATTCTCTTCCTATATTATTATAGATATAAAAAGGCAATCGAAATGGCTATCGATAATAAGAAAATATAACGTAAAAATAAAGTCATGGAGATGGATGTCTACGGCAAGCGAGTAAGCAATCAGAAGAAGGAGAAGCAACACATTGAAGTGTCAATAAGCAAAAGTGATGCTAGTTGGAGAAGAGAAAAATGACAGCGATGAGCAAAGCAAAAACTGAACGCGCTCGTTCAGCTGCGAGGATGTCAATACAAAACTGGCGGTCAAATGCAAGAGTGACTTTTTTAGAAACCACAAATGGAGTGTTTTCTTAAACAGGTTAGCGAACGTAGTAACAAATGATAATGGGAATTAAGTTAGAAAAAATACATTTTACGAGGCCACTGTTCCTGAAATTTGAAAAACCGGTTCTGAATGTATTTACCGTGCGGCAAATCCTTTCTCGATTCGTAAATGTCATCGGCATGATACTTGAGCATCATTCTTCTTCACAAGCATCGATTCAAAATCACACGACAAGCACTAATCTAATCAAACTTCCGACAGTCAAGAGTGCGTCCAGATTTCAACATTGTCATCACCAATACCGACTGATGCGCCATGTTCGACACCAACATTCCGTATTAAATTTAAAGGGAACCACGACGTTGAAAAATAAATGATGGTGACATCGAAACAAAATTAGAGATACAGAATTGATTTATGTTAGAGGCGGAACGTTAAATAATCGTTGAGGCGAGATGCTGGTTAATGTTTGAGACGCGCCCCACTGAGCGGTGGATACTCCTGAACGTTGGTTAATGTTTGAGACGCGCCCCGCTGAGCTGTGGATACTCCTGAACGTTGGTTAATGTTTGAGACGCGCCCCGCTGAGCGGTGGATACTCCTGAACGTTAGTTAATGTTTGAGACGCGCCCCGCTGAGCTGTGGATACTTCTGAACGTTAGTTAATGTTTGAGACGCGCCCCGCTGAGCGGTGGATACTCCTGATTGTCGACGCTGTGGGTGCGGCAGAGCGGACACTCGCGCTTCGTACGGAACCAGTCGTTGATGCACTTGGAGTGGAAGAAGTGATTACACTCGAGCTTGGTCACCTGGTCGGGCTGGTTCATGACACTGAAGCAGATGCAACAGTCCTCATCTTTCATGTCTTTGACGCTCTTCTGTAATGCAACAAAGAAAATAATGGCACCGTTACAATGTATTCAATAGCGCATTTAGGATTCGAAATTAGACATTTTAAGGTAGGATTCTGTACAGCCATTTTTGCCAATTACATATTGAGAAATTTTTAACAATATATTTCTTAATTTCAAGCGGTTTATCAAATGATTCAAGTAACGGAAGTCATTTCAATAATGAGAGAGTAATGTTAGCTTTAAATCGACAAGCATGAAAATGAGCATGGAGGCATGCATGAAAACGAGCATGAAGGCATACATAAAGGACAGCATGACGGCGAGCAAACACATGAACCTGGTCATATGTACGAGAGCAAACCTTGACGTGGGCTGCGAGTGGCTTCTGCTGGGGCGTGGTGGCGTTGGCCCAGGGCGCGATGGGCGTAAGGTTGCCCTTAGGGCGGCCAGGCTTCACGAGCTGCCGGACACGCTTAATGATGACGTCCTCCGCCAGGCCGGACAGGCGGTTGTTGTTGCTCTGGCGCACCTCCGAGATGGCGCTCAATATCGATTCCCTGCCACCAGAAAACTCGTATAAGATTCCGCTTTTGAAGCGATTGGCGTACTGAGTACGCCAATCAAAGAAATTTTTTAATGAAGTTGCTCATCATTTCATTATAATTAATTCAATTCATTTGAGTATAATTCACAGTTCTTTATTAAGACTATTTTTGAAATAAATAAGAGGCAATCAAGTAAAGGAAACGAACTAATAGACAAGAAAAATCCAGAATTTTTCAAGAAATTCGTGAACATGATACACGCGAAACATAAACACTGACACTAATAAAAACAAACATCAGGTTTATAAAAAAGTGGAAGTATATAATTTAGATAATATTTGAAACGGCTTCAAACAAGCATTTTTTCAATAGCCTCGTCAGAGCCCGTCAAAAGAATTTCATAAAAAAACTCACATAAATTATCGTGAATCAAGAATCGAAAAAAAATATTGAAACAAATACGGTAGATAGGAAAACGATCAGGAGTAACAATGAACGTGAGTGAAGTAAAATGGCTTCACATGGATAGATCTGATTTAATATTTTATACATTTAGGTTTAATATTCTAAAAAACAGCACGGACAACATCAGCGAAAACATGGCTCCTTGTTCGTTTATAACAAAATTGACACCCCACAAGCCAAGTGAATGATTAGAACAACGAAACGAATTGGCAGTACCTTGAATAGTCAGGCCCGAACTGCGCTTGACAGATGTCGGCGAGACGCTCGTGGCTGCGCTTGACAGACACATCGGGGACCCTGCAATGGCGGTACACGGTGAGGTTTGTTGGAGGATAGACGGTAATGTTGATACGGGGATACGCGGTAAGCTCCGCTAGAAAGATACACGGTAAGCTCATCTAGAAAAGATACACGGTAAACTCAGCTGCAGATGATACACGGTAAACTCAGCTAAAAAATATACACGGTAAACTCAGCTGCAGATGATACACGGTAAACGCAGCTAAAAAAGATACACTGTAAACTCAGCTGCAGATGATACACGGTAAGCTCATCTAGAAAAGATACACGGTAAGCTCAGCTGCTGAGGATACGCGGTAAGCTCAGCTCGAGAAGAACCACTGAATTATTAGGAAAAGGTAGCGACAATGTGAATGAATTCAAAGAAGGTATGAGAACTGACGTCACAGGAAGCATTATTAGAGATGGGCGATTGGTGTGTGGTTGAAAACATTTATTTTTCTTATTTTACATAATTGAGATGATTTCCTCGTGGCACGAACGTGTTTAACGTGGATCTGTTGTCATGAACGAAGCCCAAGTACCTATTTGACAGTAATCTTGTTTCACAACGGAAAACTTAGAATAATAATGAGCTGGTTGGCTGTAGTTCAGTGGTACAAATGGTCAAGATATAAAGGCTGCTGATTCGAGGTTTCGGGACTCCGGCTCGGTTGCAAACTTCCTTTGTTGTCATTAGGGAGGCAAAGAACAGGTGTATAGGGCGGCGCCTTAGTGTGGTCGTTGGCAGTGCTCAAAATAAACCTCACGTAACTGTGACCAAAGGGATTTTATTGTCATTATAAAAGTGCTAGAAATTGGAGACGTCCTCTCACTTTGATGCAGAAGCAGCGCGGGGAGGCGCAGTAAACTTTTGGACGGGTGGAGCAGCAGAAGCAGCAGCCGCAGTGTTCTGGAAAAAAAACAATACTCCACTTTATCAATAAATAATATCCAAATCCTTGACGCATTATTATTTAATAGAATAACTGAAAACTGAAAAACCTGGGCTAATTGAGCGTATAATAAAACTAGACATTGAGCGTATAATAAAAGTTGTTTCCGAAGAGCATGATTTCACTTCATTGCGCCTGATGTTCCTGTCCAACAATGATATCAGAAACAGTGAAATATTTGCAAATAAATGAGTTCCTCACATGAACGACTAAAAGAATAACTAAACAAACGCTTGACAAAACGTGAAGTCAAGAGTATAAATAATAACTGACGCGGAAACATATTGAAGCATCTTTCACTGCTACACCTGCTTCAGTTCGCTCCTTTATAATGAAGGTCTAACCTGAAGAGCGTTAGGTATCGCCCCAAACTGAGAGAGCTGGGAATGATTGTGCGAAGACTGGGCAGCCGTGGTGGGCTTCCCTCGCGACGAAGCAACGCTCGTCAAGGGCGTCTGTGCACTGGCAGGGGGCGCCACAAGATTACCGTTCTTGGCCTTCACGTCGTTTACAAGCTTGACAAGATCATTGGAAGCATCCGCATCCTTCTGCGGCATGGCCGGTATTGAAGACATCGTTGACGTTGGACGCTGTTCAAGAACAACCTTCGGTGTGCTATAATCCACCTTATTATCTGGAGCAGAATATTCCGAACTCTCCGGATAAAACATTCTCAAGTTCACAAACGAATTAGTTACAGTAACCATTGATTTTGTGAACTCGGTGGGGTCTACATCGCCATCAAGAGAAAATATTTTATCTTTTGCTGAGCTGTTAGAAAGCGACCCTGATGCTACGCTAGTTCCATCAGCGACAGAGATCTTTGCGGGCGCTGGTGGAGCGAGGCTTGATGCACTCGAGGCTGCAGATCTGATGTCCAAAATAGACGAGCCGAACATCACAGGCTGTTGAAGAAAATAGTAGAAATTATTTATGGATCATAGCGAAATGAACAAAAATTTTCATAAGGTAACGATAAAAACAACGACACAGCGAATTTAACACGTTGACTACGGAGTGGTACATATGCGTACCACGAAATCTATTTCTCCAGTTCGTAGTGGTACATAATTAAGGTTGCCTAAAATCGGCCAAATCCGAGAACAAAAAAGGCCAAAAAAAGGCCGATAACTCAATATATACTAGTTTATTTGTAGCTTCTGCTATAAAAATTCCATTTATTTTCTTTTTGCAGTATTTAAAATTTAATTAGGAAGTACCCCTATCATAAATTTAAGCCGGCCAACGCAATTGATAAAAACTAAATCACTGAATTTGTCCGGAAAAAATGACCGTCTGGCAAAACTGTTTAAAAACGGTACAAAAAATGAAATAATAGTACAAGAAGACAATCGTAGTCAACGTGTTAAGAATGTCACATGGTAATGGTAAGCTAGCAGTATGTTTTGCATCTTTAAGTATTGGCTGACAAAATTTAATTGCAGAAACTTTCCAGGGTATGTAAATACAGATTACTACGAAATTGCACTAACATCTGGGATTATTTTGCACCCGTGAAGATAGGCTTTTGCATCGTAAACAATTTAGTAGCATTTATTGAAGCGAGTGTTATTTATATTTATACATATAATTTATTTTTACTTCTTTTTATACAATTGGGTGAACTAACCGCAGAGCTGTGCGTTTGCAGAACCTTAAGGCACACTTGCTTTGATTTATATGTGACCAAAGCAACTCCAGGCGCAGGCAGCATCACAGCAGATTCTACTTCACCAAATTTGGAGAAGAGATTCTGCGCAATGTGGGAACATACAAACTGGCAGTCGCACTAAATCTTAACGCATACAGGAAACGCGTGAACAACTCACTACACAATAAGGGTGTAATAATTCCAAAGTAAGCCATAGGTTACACTCCTGGGGCGCAACATGCGAGTAGATTCATGCGTGCCAGAAAAAAATTTACAACGAAGATCGGGTGAGAAATTGTCACACTGTAGTAGAGTAGAAATTTAGTGGGTCGAGATACGCCTAAGTATTGAAATAAAGAAAGACATTTGTTAACTTTTCACAAAGGAGTTACGTCTAACCCAAATATACTAATATTCTAAAAATATTATAATATTTCTTATAAGATGCATACGGTAGCACAACACACATCACACAGAGACGCCATCGTCAGTGAGCTTCAAATGAAAATTTTTTAATAAAGACGACGATGCAGAGTAGCGGGTGGCTTACCTTGACCTCTTCGCCTGTGATGGTCGGAGGCAGCGTGCCCACAGTGATTTGACGATCTAATAAAATATGAAAAATCTCAGTAAATACGAAGAATTTCTATCAGTAAATATGGACATGAGTAGGAAAGTACTTGAAGGATACAACTGAAAGGAAAAGAGAAGCATTCTACCGCATTACGTCAAAAATATCAAAACGCATACCTTATATCGATATTTTTCTAACATTGGGATAGTTACTGGCGTTTGACTGTATGACCGAAGAGCCATCAGGGAAATGTACACTATTACTACGAACACCCAGTATACGAGAAGTCGATAGCAGCAGACCGCTGACGTATCTAAGCTGAAGCGCTTGAACGAGTAAGTTTGACTGAGAAAAATGATACGCCACTGGCGCTCAAGACTCGAAACTACCCAAAGCTGGAGAAGTCATAAGTGATCCTTTGTTCCTTGAAGGTTTTCAAGATCTAGGTGTATTGAATTACTATACATGTGATGGCCAGAACTCATCGTAAGATCAAATTGACTGTGCATTATCATTCGCGAAATAATTACTTTATTGCTAGTGAAAATGCCACCAATTAGAAAGACATTATGAGATAACGGCCAGTGTTACCGAAGAAAGTTACTGCAACGATACGAGTTGGCCACAATACAAGATACTGAAGAAATTTATAACTAATGATTTTGTAGATCTATCACTCGCCTCCTTCCTCTCTAAGCAAACAAGCTGAGGCAGGAACTGACCAGCAACACTGGCTCCTGCTGTGCGGACATACGCCGCGTGCTGGGATTCCGAGACCGGAGCCGCCCTTGACGCGGTAGTCTCAGAAAAAACAGTGCGAGAGATGGGGCTGGGCACTGTAATGTTTACGGGAGCAGCAAGGCTGAAGCCAGCACCAGAAGCTGCAAAAGCAGCGTTAGTATCACTGTTAGGCGATTGGCGAGCGAGGGACACTTGCTGAAGAACATTTTGAATATTGCTCTGTCGCACGCCTTGAGGTTGGCTGTCAAGCAGGGAAGGAGACGTCCTTGGAGCCATCAGCACCACCCCGTCCTAAAAAAATGAACAGGGTCAGGGACTCCTACTATTGATTTGCTCATGCTGGCAGTCCAGCTTCAGGTACGAGAACTTTGGATGCAATTAGCAATGTTGATGCAATGGACGATAATGATGTAATAATAAATGGTAATGAAATGATTTATGTTGCCTGCCTGCGTGAGGGCGAGCAGATGAGTGAGGTCACAGCAGAGCAGGTCGGTAGGCAGGGGGTCCAGGCCACTGAGCATCTTGTCGTTCAGAGGGCGCCCCAGGCTGATCATCTTCTGCAAGTTTTGCGATTGGCCCTGGGAAATAATTGCATAATTCAATCAACGAAAACACGCATGATTATGCAATCTGAACTTAAACGTCTACTTAACCGAAATTGCATTCATTTCGGATCATATACTTCATCCTTCAAAGTAGGACCAGCATTACTGAATTCATACATAAAATTTACATGCATAAAGTTTACATTACATAAAGTTTGAAACAGCAACTGAATGCTTCAATCTTTATTATTTACGAGACAGGGTTGGCAATGATTAAATCAAAATGATTAAATCATGTGATTAAATCACTTGATTTTTCTATAAAAAATCATGATTTTTTCGATTTTTTTTATTTTTTTTTTTTTATTTTTTCATATATTTAAATATATTGAGTGGCAGTCTTTAATTTATATTGAGGTATTGTTATTCATGGTTTAGTATAAATTTACTATAAATGACAAATTGGTATATAAACTTGTTGCCTTTAGTGTGTATTAGGTTCCAATAAATTGAATGTTTTTGGTACAGAGGCATCAAGTGTGCAATACATTGTACGTAGCTAACAGCTTAGCTAATTCTTATAAGGCTATAAGTAGTCTTTAACTATTTGATATACATATTGATTACAATATACAATTTAAATGTGTTAGCTAGCTTATACAGGGTGGGGCAAAACTGATTGAACAGTTTTGGGGCGAAATAAAAGAGTAATGGAGGTACATAAAGAAGAAAGTTTATTTTCCTCAAGATTAGCATAACATACCATTTAAAATACTTATGTTTTGCAAACAATATCAGGAAAATGGGGTTTTTTAGCTGCATCACACTGTTGGAGTCGTTCTCGGAAGTTTCCTACAGCACGTTCACACATATGGCGAGCTAGGTATGGCCATAACCTCTGCTGCAATAATCCGTTCCCTTAGCTGTGGTAGGGTGTGAGGGCAACTTCTGAACTTCTCTTTTAGATGTCCCCAAAGAAAGAAATTGCAAATGCCCAAATCAGGTGACCTCACAGGCCAGTGTAAATCACCCCTCAGAGACACCAGACCTCTGGGAAACATGTGTTTCAAAACATTGGGTGACATTCAGGCTGTGTGAGCTGTAGCCCCATCCTGCTGGAACCACACGTCTCGCAATGCTTCATTTTCAACAATGTTTTCCATCATGGGCTGCAAGAAATTTTGCAACACTGCAGCATAGCAATCGGAATTCACTATCACGGTTACTCCCTCCTCCGAAAACGACTCCAACAGTGTGTTGCAGCTAATAGCCCCCCATCTTCCAGATATTGTTGTCAAAACATAAGTATTCTAAATGGTATGTTATGCTAACTTCTAGGAATATAAACTTTCTTCTTTATGTACCTCAATTACTCTTTTATTTTACCTCAAAACTGCTCCATCGGTTCTCCCCCACCCTGTATATTGAGAGGTAGTATTGATTTTCTAGGCAATTAGAAAGATTTTCCACCCTAATACGAGTATTCTAATTTTGATAGTGCTGTGCACTGTGCTATCAGCTACAGTCACTACTAGTTGGAGTGTATAGAGGGTAGAGTCTGGTAGATTTATAGGACATAAAACTAGTGGATCTATTGATAGTGCTGTGCACTGTGCTATCAGCTACCTATCTGTTATGTGACTCTTCAATGTTTAGAAGATCTGCATTCCTGAAGTGTTTTTGTATATTGAATCCTGTTAAATGGTCAATATTTAGCTCATTACCTTGCTCCATACAAACTTTACAAGCTAATGAATAGACATAGTACCAATAATTGTTTACCCAAAAATCCCTAAGTGGTAAACACCACCTTGGCATGTTGGCCATTATTGAAGGCAATAAGTGCCCTTTTTAGCCATCCATTATGATCCATATACTGTTATTGTTAATAGGCTAATTGCAACATAAAAAATAACACTTCAAAAAGACAAAAAAGTTGAAAAAATAAAAAAAAATCATGAAAAAAATCAAAAAAATCATTGATTTTCTATTTTTTTGATTTTTTTAAAAAAATCAAAAAAATCGCCAACCCTGTTACGAGAATACAGCAAGAGTAACAAGAGAGATAGAAACTCTAAGTAGCTGAAACATTGCACGCAAAATTTAGATTGAAAAATAAGTAACACTTAACGTACCAGCAGAATTTTCTTCTTGGTATCGAGGTAGAGGATGTGGTTCTGCACAACAATGAACTGCTGCTGAAGCTGAGTAGCAGACGGTACCGACACCGCAGACGCCCGGCGCTGCAGCTCCAGCAGCCGGTTATTGGCCGACATGTAGAACGCGATAACCCTGCATAAAAAGTGCCATCACAACGCTACAATAATTGCTTGGAACTTTAGTCTGTAAAAATATGGTAAATTCACAAATTGACAATTTTTTCCCCTGCAGGTCGGCAATTCATATTTGTGAAGGATTTAAAATCACACGTAAACAGTCAGCAAGTTTTATGTTAGTGGCTATAACTCATCGATCACAAGATGAACCACTGCACTTGGTACTTGTCATTAGACGCATTCTCACTCTTTTATCATCAGAGCTTACAACCACGTTACTGATGGTCCAAATAACTCAGGGATGATAAATTTGAACTCTTGGTATCTATGAAATATCATTCCATCTCTCAACTTTAATTTGAGGAAAATTTTAAATTTTTAAATAATTCTGTGTCGTCAAATGATATCGCAACATATATCAAAACCGTGAGTCCGTGATACCAATACACGAAAGTTGTATGGTTTGCTTTAAATTATACAGTAAAGAAAAAATATCGAGGAGACTACATCTTTTCTTTTTAAATAATGAGAGAACAAAAGGATAATTCAAGCATCAAAATCAGAAATGGTGATTTTATAAAATCACAAGGAAATGATTTACTTAGGAAAGATCAAAGCAATGGTCAGTGAGAATTTCAGTGCATGTGTTGAAATTGTATTTACAAATAAGATACACAAGGCAAACCGACCCTTTAAAGCGTGCACCATATCTTGTTATTTACACAAAATGCTCTTTTATATTTCGAAGTTTTTGAACTCGTGGATACAAACCTAGCGTGTTCGTGCGCTCTTGGTTATGGTTACTCCTGCGCTACAGTTAAGCATTGCTTGACGTATAATTAATATCTGTTTTCATCTCCGTAATTAAATAATAATGATAAGCTAAAAGTATCACCTGTCGAAGATATCCTGGCTACAGTTAGGTATTTCCTGACGTATAATTAATATTTATTTTCGTCCCCGTAATTAAATAATGATAATAAGCTGGGAATATCACCTGTCGATGATATCCTGGCTCCAGTTAAGTATTTCCTGACGTATAATTAATATTTATTTTCGTCTTCGTATTTAAATAATAATAACCTAGGATTATCACCTATCGAAGATATCCTGGCTACAGTTAAGTATTTCCTGACATATAATTAATATTTGTTTCCGTCCCTCTAATTAATAATAAGCTAGAAATATCACCTGTCGAAGATATCCTGGCTACAGTTGAGTATTTCCTGACGTATAATAAATATTTGTTCCGTCCCTCTAATTAAATAACAATAAGCTAGGATTATCACCTGTCGAAGATATCCTGTATCATGGTAGAACGGAGCGCCACGTATCTAGACTCTGCTGTCTTAGAGCGGCCAGACGCGTTAGTCAGCGACTGCTCTACCATAGCCAACTGCTCGGCCTGCCGTGCCGCCGTGGCCCTGCACAATAACAAATTATCTTAGAAAGATTTCACATTATCTTTAGCTCGATTTAGTAAGGAGGAAGGCAGTTCTTGATATAATGTTGACACAAATTATCTTAGAAAGGCTTCACATTATCTTTAGCTTGATTTAGTAAGGAATAAGGGATTTCTTGGATGCTGTCCTTAATATAATATAATGTTGACAATGAATTTAACATTACATTATTACAAAAATTTGATTACCTGGTGAAGCTGGAAAGTCAACTAATGTGGAATATCATAAGTAAATAGATTTTGACCGCATGCAATAACTCATTTATCGTTGCTTTTATCAATTAATTTATTCGAGAAATAATTTTAATAAAGTGCATTCTGATGAATAACTGCTACTTACATCTAGCAGTCGAATACCAGCATCTACTTCCTAACTTCCTTATAGTAGCTGAACCACAACTGCTAGTTCCTTCTAGTAGCTGAACCCTAACTGCTAATTACTTCTAGTAGCTTAACCCCAACTGCTAGTTACTTCTATTAGCTGAACCCCAACTGCTAGTTACTTCTAGTAGCTAGTTAGTTAGTTAGTTTAGTGGCCAAATGTTTACTAGCGCTTCAGCTATTTTCCAGTGGCTAATCGCTAACTTTTATTTATGGACGGCTGCAACTTATCATGGAACGGTTGTAAGAAGAAATACAACAACTTCTAAGAAACAAGATTAAATATGAGCTCAACGTCCAGAATATTTCTTATCAAGATGCGTATGTACTACACGAGACAAAAATCCAAGGAATGAACCATAACTTCATAAGCTGAAAAAGCAAGCCCGTCTACCCTCACCACCTCAATGATGCTTTAATCTTACAGCTTTACTCACTTGGCGACCTGGAGTTCCTCCTCCAGTATGCGGTTATCATCCTTGAGACGATCCAGATTGAGCTCCAAGGCGTTACTCTTGGTCAGAAGGACCTTGTGTTCCTCAACTAGTTTCTTTTTCTCGGCGTTAAGGCGACGTTGTTCAGCAGAAGATTCTGCTTTAGCCTTGTCGGTCATCTTGTTTCGCGACTGAGCGAACATTTACAAGCAAATTATTAGCGTTCTTAACAAACTTCAGCATGCAAGCTCTTAACCTTTTCCCTCATAGCGGTATCATACGGTATCACATGATGGTAAGTTAAGTTTTTTTCCGTTGCAAAGGGCTGCGTGAAAACTCGTTTGCCACGCATTCAAGCCTTCTGCCACGTAAAGGCCTCATTGTTTTTTTCGGAAAACTTTGTTTTCGCGGAGGGAATGAGTTGAATATTATAAACGAACTTTGATTTAAGCCATGCATGGATGCAGTCATGCAACATCTTTTCGTTACCCTTCTGAACAGAAATTACTGACAAAAAAAACTTTAGAAATGAATTATTTAGGAAATATCAAGCCAATTCATTCTGAACAGAAATTACTGACAAACAAACTTTAAAAATGAATTATTTAGGAAATATTAAGCCAATTCATTTCAATTTCTTTTGCAGTGCCTCCCACCTGAACGATTTCCTCTGCCTCAGCGAGCTGCTTCTTGAGAGTAGAGACTTCAACACTCATCTTAGTGTTGAGGTCCAAGACCTTCTCCTGCAGATGCGTTATCTCCAAATTTTTGCTATTGCGCAGCTCGTCCAGTTTTCGCTGCAGCTTCGCCACCTGCGCACAGCAACACCATGAGTTAGCTACTGCACTAGCATCGTTAATTTCAACAATTAAAGATTCAACACAAAAGTGCCTTACCGTGATTATATCGCCAAAACTTAAGTTTCTAGGTACATGACGATGCTTAAAATATATGACGGTGCTTAATCTCAATTAACGCTTTACACTAATGATCATCTTATAAGTCACGTCCAACTCTTTAAACCATTTTTACACATTAACTAATTGAACAATGCGCTACGTGGTATACAATACAACAAAGCTCGTAGAATGTAATTGCAGTTGTACTATTTAGAAATGGACCTAAGAAATTGAACGAATGTTTACTAGCTTCCTCATAGAAAATCAAAAGTTAGAGATCTCAAGAGTTTTCGATAGAACGCTGAAGTCGTCAACGTCGCCAATAACATTTTTAAAACGCGCGCGTTTTTTGGTACATGTATCGCAGTCGCTGATAAATCAAAACCTCATAGCAGAAATTGATGGTCCGCAACGATTACAATTTAAACTGCCCATTTAGTGGAAAATGCAAGCGGAATTTATGATAACACACCTGCTTTTCGAGCTGCCGCTCTTTGGTTGAACGATCGTCGCCGTTAAACAGGGTGCGGAAGCCACTGTCCAGTCCACACGTATTACCTGGAAGGAGAGAAGCAAAACTTGGGAGATGGGCTTATAGCTCTAGTACAGTGCGTGAGACAACATAAACATATTTAAACCTAGGAGAAAATATTAGAAGTTCTGGTCTTGCACATTAATTGTGGTCTTGCACATGATACATAATAGTACAAAATTATCACTTGATTAATCATTATGTTAATGCCAAGCCAATGTAAATAAACAATAATGCCGCGCAATATAGTGACTGAGCCAACGCAACCTAGTGCCACCATCTCACCCTGCTCGCCCGAGTTTGTCATCTTTTCATGGACATTGTTAGGCAAGTCTCCGAAAGCCAGCGAGCTACATTCAGATTGCTGTCGAGCCGACGGTCCGTCACGCCACAAGCTTGACGACTTCGTCTTGCTCGACCTGTTGCTGCAGACCGACGTAGAGCGAGAACTGCTCGCCGTGTTCGACGAGTTCGCTTCAGAGGAAATCTTGTTCGAGTCTCGACTAGCAGCAGGAACATGCGAGGCTGGAGCTCGGGGAGGAATGATAATAGTTGGCTTTGTGAAAGGTTCAGGGGAGATGTCACTTGAGGAGCACAAGTCGGGAGAGTCTTCTAAGTAGGATTTGGCGCGGTATTGATCGCTGCGGAGAACAAACATAAATAAAATGAAAAACGAAGATGACTCTGAACATTCTATAAATAAGATCGTCAATTAGAACAGTTAAAATTTAGAACAGTAATTACGAACAAATTTTGACCCATGACACAATTTGATGCGTGCCGTTTTTTAGGAACATTACAAATGAAAGCTATCAGGAGCAATAAAGTAGTATTAATATATCTCATGGCCTCGTTAGTCATGATTACAAATATTCAAAGAACGATTTCATGCTCAATCACTCATTTCAGGTGTCTCATGATATTTTTATTATAAAACTAGAGAATTTATAATATGGATTAATTTGAGACATTGAGTAATTCAACAAGGTAATTCGTGCAAGACCTCGTGAGTTACACATTAGTTATACAAGCCGTCACTCAGAGGGCTTATATGACCAAAAATTAAATTAAATTAAAATCCTCATTAATCCTCGTATTTTCACTTGATAACTTATGTAGAAGTGGAATATTTAGCCCTAAAATGTCTCACCTGATACAGTATTGAGGGTTTTCCTTGAAAGCCTCAACGACGCCTGTGCACACCTTCTCCTGCAGATGCAGAGCGTGCTGGTAAGTGTACACGTAGTCGTCTATGATGACGAAATCAACGTCACAATTGATAAAATCTTTCACTCCACCGTACCGCCTGATCAGGTCCAGGCTTTCCTGGGGCAAGTTCTCCTTGATGTAATTGTCTAATTCGCCGTGATCTTCAAAGCCAAAAGGTCCTTCGGCCTCGATGAAGTCTTTCAAGAACGATATGAGAGCGTCAATCATTTGTATCGTTGGGATATTGTGCTCACGCGAATAGGAATACCTCTGCCACGGATCCTTCTTGTCACGGAAGAGTTCCTTGACGACATCACGGTCATATTGAAGAAAAGAAGGCATATAACATGGCTTATCAGGATCAATCTTAAAGTCGTCGTCATCTTCTTCATCTTGACTGTCATCGCTCGGGTGCTCAGCGCTCCTCTCGAGCGCCTCCTTCTGCGCGTGCAGTTGCCGGATTTTTGCGGCATAAACGTTCTGCTCGCTGGAGGTCTCCGCGTCCGCTACATCATCTACTATCCGCTCCACGCCCAGAGCTCGTTGCTGCTTCTTTTTCTTATCCTTTTTAGGTTTAATCGAACTTTCTTCGGTTTCAAGAGGACCGCGTTTGATCACTTTGATGTTGCAGTTTTCGAAATCAAGTTCATCTAAAGGCAAAGAAGAGCCAGGTTTGCTCACTCCTTTACTCTTCTTTATAAAGGCGTCACGGGCTGGCGCCACGTCATCATTGCTCGTATTCTCAGTGTTGGGCGCCTCAGTTTTGTCCTTTTGTGATGAGTCATTCTTATTCTTGTTATTGTATTGAGAATTTTGCTGTGGATTCTTTTTCTTATTTTTCTTCTTTTTTGCTTTAGTGTTAGAATCAGGCCGCTCCTTTTTAAACTCTTGAGAAACGCATCTATTTTCGTCGTATATTGTAATGCACTCAATGCATCCAGAGCAGTCAGGCGTCAAGCAAGCCAAATTGATAAAATCCTGAGAGATAAACAAACACTTATTAGGTTACACTCAACACAGGGCTGGAATATATAACGGAAGCTTTATAAGTTTGCAGAAATTACGATTATATAGTTCAATATTGAAAAATTACGGTAACACTAACCTTATCACTTATTTTGTTTTTATTGACAGCAAAAGTATCTTCAGATGCCTTTTGGTCTTTGACTTCCCGCCAGCACGAGAAGTGGTAAAAAATATGACAGCTTTCTTCGCAAACAAGCTCCACGTGACCAGAGTATAGGCCGTCACTGCAACACACAACAAATTACAATTACACTCCATTGACACTGTTCATAGCGCAGCACCTACACTGACTGCACTGACACTGTTCATAATTAATCATTGGCCGCCCTCCCTCAGTAGAGGTTTGTTCCGCTCCTGGCTCACACCTCTCCACAGTTATAACTAATGCCGGAAAAACTCAAGACTGTCGTAATTGCTGCATCAAATACCAAAGGCTCGGGCATCACCTTCTTGTGTGAAGACGGACATATTGTTTGTTTGTATTATTATTTTATTATCACTGTATGTTTCTCAACAATGCGTGATGTTTCAAGCCATTTGTATCATTAGCTATAAGTTTCACTCAAGGATTGATGCCCATGTTCATAATTAATATCCTAGCTACGGGGGTCAGGGTTTGTGTGATTGCTGAATATTGTCATGAACTATTGTATTGTTCTTCATAACTTTTGTTCTAACAACTCGTATTGTTAAACACCTTGGCATTAACATTCTATCACTGGTGTTGTAAGGTTCACATACCAAATAATTCGCAACATCGTGACCTGTTATCCTCGTAAATGCGTGGAAAATCAGCCGTATTAGGTTTTACTGGCATAATCGAATAAGATTATCATTACTATCTGAAAATATATATTTATTGATAGGCGCTAGGCGGTGAATTAAATAAAGATGAAATACAGGATAACAATACAGGATAAGGATAACATTTCAATACAATGTTGGTGTGCGATAAAACAATGTACAGGCACCCATAGAGACACGCGACATCCAGCTTAGGTCTAAGGGGCGAGATGAGTTGTGATAGCTTATGAGAAGAACCTCTTCTTTGACTTGTGCCATATTTGACTTTTGCCTGATTTATACTTGATTATCAAGAAGGAGACAAGAAGTAGATAGAATGATATACAGAATATACAAGATCTGGATGGAATTATATACAGAATATACAAGAAATAGATACCTATATACAGAATATACAAGAACTGGATAAAATGATATACAGAATAAAGTGATCATAGCACGAATCTTCATTGAGAACCTTTGTGATGAACAGGGCTAGGCATATGACAAGAGTGGCAGTAGACCTGTGGACAGAGAGGAACAAGAGTGGCATAGGCAAGAGTGACAGGGACCGAGACAAAAGTAGCAGGGACAGACAAGAGTGACCCCCCCCCCCCAAGAGTGGCAGTTGACCTGCGGATAGAGCCAGAGACAAGAGTGGCAGAAACAGAGACATGAATGACCGTGACGGAAACAAGAGTGGTAGAGGCAGAGACAAGAGTGGTAGAGGCAGAGACAAGAGTGGCAGAGACAGAGACAAGAGTGGCAGTGCCAGAGACAAGAGTGGCAGTGGCAGAGACAAGATGACAGAGACAAGAGTGGCAGTGACAGAGACAAGAGTGGCAATGACAGAGACAAGAGTGGCAGGGACAATGACAAGAGTGGCAGGGACAGAGACAAGAGTGGCAGTGCCAGAGACAAGAGTGGCAGAGACAGAGACAAGAGTGGCAGCAGACCTGTGGATGATGTGCTTGTGATGGCCGGTGCCCGCGAGCTGCTCGCACGCGCTGTAGCGGCACGTCGAGATCACGATGAAGTCGTCCTGCGTCAGCCAGGGCTTGCCAGCGTACCAAGTCTGTCATCACAAACACAGTTAAATATACCTCAAGTCTGTCACAGTTAAATGACGTAATTCATAAACATAACATTGGAATTGAACATGTTGAACAATCAGTCAGCATATAGCCTCAAAAAGGCAGCATAAATTCTCAGTAAGATTGTTTCGAATGGAAACACAGAAATAAGTACGAGAATTATTTAAGCTGTTAGGAACTGACCTCGAGGAAAGACACTTCTGTGTGCCTGATGGGCTCCAGGTAAGGGGGCAGCAGCAGAGGCAGTTTACTCTTATCTTTCTGCAGCCAGCGGTTGAACAGGGCAGCGAAAGACGTAACTTTGTCGTATCTGTAGAGTGGATATTTTGCATTAATTTTATACAACCAGTGTGGAAAAATGAAGAATGAAATAAATACATAATCGGAAAATGGAGAACAGTTTGAAATGTTTCATTTAAAAAGGACATTTCTAGGAACGTTTAATCTAAGGTTCATGAGTTATATAAAATACTGATTAGGCTGCAGTAATGAGAGCAATATTAAATTATTATATTAGTTGAATAAAATAAGTTCACTCCCGTACTGAATTGTATTTTTAAGGCGATGACCACCTTTGAATGACCCAAGGCCTTTTACAATAGTTTGTTTATATAATGAACGACGCGGTCATTTGTAATAATTTTTAAAGAAGTGTAGCCTCATATTGCTTACACAGACTTCCTATGAGAGTCCACTGCAATACACTTGAAGCATTTTCATACGAGTTTAGTACTACATAAATTATTGTACACTTGTGAACGATTCAACACAGCGGCTGATGAAATGGGTCCCGCGATGTTATAAACTTAGGTTTAGCAACAATGACCACGTCCAGAGGAACGTTATCGCGTTCCAGCCTAATTGTGCATCAAATATCTAATAAACGAGACTATATATTTCCAACAATTCTCTATGATAATACTGCCTTGTTATCTATATAAAGTATTCACTACAGGGGTTACACAAAATAGGGAAACACCTGAGAAATGCACAAAGTATATTTTAGTATGGGGTAGGTCCACCTTTTGCCGCAATTACAGCATCAATTCTCTGAGGTATAGATTCATACAATTGCGAATTGTTTCCAAAGGAATTTTAACCCATTTTTCAGTTAAAGCTCTTTCCAGCTCTATTAAAAGCGATAGCGGCGGGAATTGACATCTGACTTGCATCTCTAAAATAGACCATAAATGTTTGATAATATTCATTTCCGATGACTGTGGTGGCCAAATGAGATTCTCAATTGCTTTAGAATGTTCCTCGTGCCATTTTTCTAATAATTCCAGCTGCATGGATCGGGGCATTATCATCTTGAAAGATGGCGTTCCGCACCGGAAACAGTGCTTGAACCATTGAATAAACTTGCACCTCTAAAATTCCTAAATAGTCACGGCTGTTGATGGTTCCATGAAAAGAAATCATTAGTCCGCCGGATTTTCAAGAAATAGATTTCTATCCCTCGCCATGTTTAACGGCTGGGAAGAGGCAGTCGGGATTAAATGACTCTTTGGATGTCTCCAAACGTAAACTCGGCCAGAGGTTGGAAGTAAGGTAAACGATTATTCGTCTGAAAAAAAAAAAATCTTTTACTGCCCAAGGGACCAATTCTGTAGGTTTATACACCACTCTGAAAGATTTGAAGCATTTGTATTTGAAATCAAAAGTTTTCTAATTGCAGCTCTTCTATAGAATCCATATGCGTGCAGCTCTCGACAGACAGTCTTTATTGAAACTGGGTTCTGTAGGTGTGCATTGAGGTCTGCAGTAATTCCAACAGCCATGGTTTTTCGATTGCCCCTCACAATTCGATTTAGGTAGAGACGGTAACTCACTGCCAGGCGCGGTGGCAGGCAGTATACTCACTGCCAGGTGCGGTGGCAGGCAGTATACTCACTGCCAGGTGCAGTGGCAGGCAGTATACTCACTGCCAGGTGCGGTGGCAGGCAGTATACTCACTGCCAGGTGCGGTGGCAGGTAGTATACTCACTGCCAGGTGCGGTGGCAGGCAGTATACTCACTGCCAGGTGCGGTGGCAGGCGACAGTCAAGAGGTAGTAGACAGGGGCACGTGGCAGGTCAGTATCGTCAGCGAGGTAAGTGGCAGCAGGTGATGATGGCAGCAGGGACTTGAGGAAAGTTATGGCAGCGATGCAGTTCTTGATGTCGCCGGACTCGACGAGACACAAGCACGCCATGAACGACACGCGCTTCTGCTCGTGCTTGCCACGATGGTTCACCAGCCCCTGCAACACGTCAGCTCATGTCATGTACAGTAGACAAGTTACTATAGTTTGCACTTTTGAGTTTGCACATGACTTTATAGTTTGCACATGACTACATCCTTCTTAAGGTGGCTATTTTGGGTTTATAAGTTCTAAAATTGCATAAAATTATCTATCGAATTATTTCAACATATAGGCACATAAGCGTTCAAATTTATATTCATGAGAAACACTGTACCTACAATACAATTTGAGCAACACTTTACACAGAAACATCTCTTTGCCAGTCAGATGTAACGAAACATTTGTTTTGAAACGAGTGTGTAGCAATGGACGTAATTTAAGTATGAACATCTCGTGTGTTGCAGGAACTGAGTCAAGTATGAACCTGTCTCTTATACACATCTAGATGTGTATAAGAGACAGATCGTGACCAATTCACATGCTTGCAATCGTGACCAGTTTACATGCCTGCAATCGTGACCACTTTACGTGCCGGCAATCGTGACCACTTCACATGCTTGCAATCGTGACCACTTTAAGTGCCTGCAATCGTGACCACTTTACGTGCCTGCAATCGTGACCACTTTACTTGCATGCAATCGTGACCACTTTACGTGCCTGCAATCGCGAATACTTTACCTGCCTGCAATCGTGACTACTTTGCGTGCCTGCAATCGTGAACACTTTACGTGCCTGCAATCGTGACCGTATCTCGTGCCTGGAATTCTGATCTGCGTTTCTTGATTGCTTATGGACAATTTCTCGTCGTTATTGAACACATTTGTGTTAATGTTGCAGGCTCAGGAACTTCATTTGGGATCATATCTGTGTACTTATTGTTTACGGTAGATTCTGAGACCACTTTTTTGTACGTAATTTCGCTTTAATTTTCAGCGCTCGTAAAAAACATGTTAATTATTGTAACAATTTTAACAAATAAGATACATATTCAAATTTAAAATAATTGATTTTCCTATCGAACTTAGTTACACATTCAAATATTTCCTATAAAAGTTCTCTTAATAACATTTGGATCATNTACAGCTTCAACATTTACAAATGCAGCTTCAACATTTACGAAAGCGGCTTCAACATTTACAAATGCAATTTCAACATTTACAAATACAGCTTCAACATTTACAAATGCAGCTTCAACATTTACGAAAGCGGCTTCAACATTTACAAATGCAATTTCAACATTTACAAATGCAGCTTCAACATTTACAAATACAGCAGGCGCCAAAGAGCTCTTGAGCTCCTGGCCACGTGACCAAACTCGACCAAATCTTGTAACAGCGGAAAGATAATCACAAAACTAAGATAATTAGATAATATTGGCGGACTAATTAGATAATTAAATGATTAGTCTGCCAAACTTCATAGACTAATAACAAAAACTGGCATACAAGTTATTCATAAAATACTTTTTGTTCACCTCTGCTTGCTTCTTTTCGACGCCTGTAGCCTCCTTATTGGATGCGTTGTTCTTCCTGTTAGCAATTGAAGAATTTGTGAACATTTAAAGAAACATGAAGGATTAGCGACCAGAATGCCTTAATTTTGTGGTGTCAAATTACTTTATTCCTTAGTTAGCATAAAAATAATTGACTCAGTAATAAAAAATTAAAAGCCCATAACGGCACAATAGCTCTCATAAAAAATTCTAAAATTAAATTTAGAGACGTAATATCGCTTCCTTCAAGTTCTACTATATTGCAGAGAACACTACAAGCTTAGTTCGGATGTTCCAGTTTGAAGAAAAAACTTCGTACCTCTCATGCCATTGTAATTGACTGGCATATAGAAAGTGAATGGATATCAAAAGGGAGATTACACTAATTAAAGCATGTCTCCAGTTAAATAATTTTTCATAGAAGCGCGTACAAAAAAATTCGATGTCCCTCGTACAGAGGATTTGAAATCAAGAAACTCAGTCTTTAAGATTCTCAAAAGGCAGGGTGAATTTCTCGAGATCAAAAGTTCCTAAATAAGAAGTAAAGTTATACTAATTTCTCACACAGATGCTTTTGACACATCCTTTGAGAGTTCGGTTTTCTTTTTCTTATCCGCGGAGCTGGTGCCGGCAGCAGCCATCTTCGTCTCTGCACTTTCTTTGCCTTTGACGACGCTCAGAGAACGAGCTCGGCCACCGCCACCCTGACCAAAAGTCCAAAACAACACGTCACCACAAAACTAATTAATTACTCCTGATAATCTTGTTCCACAATGCCACCATATCTACTCTCAGTCATCATTTACCACGCGCAGCCGTGCTCTACTCCTAATTTTATACAATAGTATCTTGTGCTGTAGTGGTAAGCATTCGTCTGTTATTAATTTGCTTACTGATTTTCTTCATTTATTCACGTATTCATTTTATATATGATATTAATCTAAAGATATCCGTAGCCTAAATCCGGAGAATAGGTTTTACCCATGTCCAATACAGTCCCAGAACCCATTCCCGCAGGATATGTACGTGTTTAGTGTCAGTTAGTATTGTGTCATTTAATCCGGTTTGACATTTTTTCAGTGTACATATATTCTAGCAAGATTTGTTATATTGATCAGCAAGTATTAATCTGTATATATTTTAGTGATCCGATTCGTCTTAGCTTTTATTTATGCTAGTTTTGTTATTTCTTATCAGGAGTCTGAATCGTGACCCAGTGTGCTAAATACCTATACTGTACGCGACGAAAACTCCGGCCAGAGTTTTCGAGGAGTAAGCTATACTTCACGAATGCGCGCCATGACAACAGCGAACACATGTTCATTTTTAGCAACAGGCTGGAAAAGTTGCTAAAGTTGGCATTCTCATTTCGCAGAGTCGAAGACAGTCGCACACCGCGTGAAAAACACGTCGCCGCTGTCCCGAAGCCGTTCAGGAGGATCCTCACATCGCAAATTTTGTCGTACAAAATAACAAAATTAAGGAGAAAACAACTCGGAAAATACTCCAGAAATGTGCACGTTTATACGACTTGGAGAACGATGCCTCATCCGAAGCACAGCCTAAAATCCTTGCGCCAATCAGTCGTCGCAAGGAGCTCGTGGACGCGGCGACTCAACATGAACCCTGTCTTTCTGGCTGGTCTAGTCGGACCAACAACCGCTCGCTTTCCATGAATGAATCGTCACGGCTTCATCGGGATCCTCGCACCACACAACCTCAACCACGAGCACCATACGTAGATAAAATGGCAAACTTTGTTGCCTGTTGCTCCTACTGCGATAGGATGGGACACATCATCAATAACTGCCGAAAGAGAATGCTTTGTTGTATTTGTGTGTCTGCCAATCATTTTGGCAGACCCAAAATTGGCCACGTCGTGGTCGGGAAAATGGAACTGAAGTTCGGACGCGCTCCTCATCGCAGCTCCTCGTGTACGTGAGACTCAGGATCACGCCACGCCAGATCTTCGACAATCGTCAAACAGCAGTCGCCTGCAGGCGTTAAACTGAAAAGTAAGCTCCGATTCCAGTAAGGTAGCGTCGGAGATGGTCCACCGAAAGCATCGGGACGTTTTCTCAGGAAATCCCTACCCGTGCCTCATCGATGGAATGAACGTGTATGCATGAGCCAGCCGGTTCTGCCAAGTGTGAGGTCCCTGGCATCCAGTGTAACGCCCCCGACAACTTCTCCTGTCAACAGAAACCTGATACGGTACCGACGAGAGTTAGTAGCAACGGCATTTCCCGATCAGTTGTTAGCATAGACTTACCTCATTCAATGGTGCCTAATGTCGAGGATAATCATCCATTGAAATTGTGCTCCACTGAGAAAATTTATTGTTTACAGCCCGCACAGTTGATGACCATTCACCTGCAGATTGGTGGTAGGGATGTTGTTGCACTGATTGATAGTGGCGCATCAAACAACCTAGCAAGGAAAAGTGTGTTGAACGGTATTCCTGCAGAGAAACGTGCTTCGATAGCTATTCAGGGTCTCGGACAGACAGTAGTCCATACCGAAGGCTTGCAGGTCAACTTCGAGTTTCTTGGTAGATCAGTTTGTGTAAATGCGGATATTGGCCATTGAGTATGATGTAATTTATGTGAACATTGAAAAAAAAAGATAATAGTAGATATGAGCAAACTAAAATTCACTATGTGTAGTGAAGATGGCTCTAAAGTTTGTTTTCCCTAACCGAAACGAAGCCAATAACTTTTCCATGATAGTTCAGAATGTCAACGTTTACGCTGCGGTAAATGGAGTACCCATGTCGCTAGACGCTGAGCCTGTGCCTGCAATATTCAGCAGTAACCTTGTACGCCTCAATTCTGAGAATCAGCAGATGTTCTTTGAAGGCAGAAAACGGAATGATAAGATAGCGTTGGATGGTACTATTCCTGTCTGTAGTGACACTGTGATAATGATGAAGTCAATGACTCATAAAACTGAAGTGAAGCGTGGCGACTGTTTGGGATGTGTGTCAACCTTGATTGAGCTGGATTCTGAGGAGCCTGACGATTCGTGGACTAAGAGCACGCTAATGCGAAGTGACCAATTATCAGAGGGGCAGAGAGATGCTGTGTACGGTATGTTAATGAGAACACGGAGCGCTTTAAGCAAGGATGAAGCAGACATTGGTGTGGCAAATATTTCGCCTCACGTTATTGAACTAACTACTGCCGTGCCTATATGGCAAACCCCGCGCCAATTTCATAACCCTGTAGCACGTGAGATCGATAGCCAGTGTAATGAGTTGCTAGCTGAGGACATTATTAAATACAGTAATTCTAAGTGGTCGTAACCTATTGTGCCCGTCCGAAAGAATGATGGGAAGTTGCGCACGCGTATCGATTATCGGAAATTGAATGCTGTGACAAAGACCCAGATTTTTCCCATGCCTAACATGTCCGAATGTATATACCGCGCGCACAACGTTAAGAGTTTGGGTTATCGCCGTGCAAAGTCAGAATTCCCTGAGAACAGCAGATCGCTGTAAAATCTGAGCTCGCGTGTTGGTTCGGTCATCATCAAACCTTGATCCCGTAATCACTCCAACGACATATTTGCGGCTGACACCCCCCATGCCCCACGGATATTGTTCTTGAGGTAAGGGGCGGCTTTCAGGCGGCCGGTGAATAGCCAGCGGGCGTCCGGCGTCTGCATGCTCTGGCCGACCGGTGGCCACTCACAGCCCGGGTAGGAGGGAGAGAGGCTGATGGGGCTCTTGACAGCCACGGGCGAGGAATTTATGAGGTTTGTGGTTACCTCATGAACCATTGGGGATGCTTTGACTCCTCCAATGTAGGATACTCGAAGTAGAAATTGTGTGTTATGTACGAAATTTCACAATTTTTTGGCATAATGACATATCTACTTTCAGAAATCTGATTCACTAGTGAATGGCGTACCGCTTAAGGACGAATAAATAGTTAAACCTAAGTAAATCGAGAAAATGGTAGAAATGCCAATCGCTTCACGAACAACAGGGTGCAAAACTTCCCCCTTCCTAATAACAGTCGAAGACATAATTTGCAAAATTTATCTTAACGTACGTGGAATGAAGAAAAATAGCTGGAATAGCATTCCAAATTTGAGGCTTATATCTTATTTGGGACGGAAATTATAGTTCAAAGAAATAGTGAATAAACCTCTTAGTGTGCAATAGTGAATAAACCTGGACGCGGCCTGGCGGCGGTACCTCAGCCTCTTAATTTTTTCACTAAACTTGATCTCTTCATGTAATATTAACAGGTGTCCTTAAACGAAGAGAGCCGTTAATAGACCGCATTCTGCACGCCGCGCATCACCAGTTCCATTTTACCAGATTGTCATTTGGTCTCAAGAATTCAGGATTCGCTTTTCAGCAGTGCCTACAACAAATACCTGCAAATTTTTCTTTCAAAACTGTTTTAATGTATATTGACAACACATTGATTATGAACAACACATGCGATGAGCATCTGTTATTGGGAGAGAAAGTCTTAAAAACGCTGGCAAAAGGTGTTAAAATTAGAGTAGAAAAATGTTCATTTTTCGAGGCTAAAATTCAATTCTTGGGGCATAAAATTGGTCAAAGTAGGATTCGCAAGTCACCAGCCTGTACCAAAAATAAGACTATCCTAAACCTACGACCGTCACAGAATTGTGCCAATTTTTGGGAATGATAAATTTTGCTCGGAAGTTCATTGATTAATGCTCATTAATTGCCCAACCGTTGACTGATCTAACTGGAGGCCCTTAAAAAGGCTATTGACGTGGAGACCTGAAATTGATTGAATCTTATGAGACGCTGAAGAAGTCATTTGTTGAGGAAGTAATTTTAGCGTAACCTGATTATAGTGAGAATGCTGATAAATTGGAATTGTACGTAGATGCGTCCGGTACAAGAGCTGGAGGCTGCCTAATGCAGAGGCAAAATGGCACCAATAAACCGACAGGATTCTCGTCCATGACATTTAGCGATGCCCAGAAGCGATACTAAACGAGGGAGCGTGAACTTGTGGCTATTCGTTGGGGAGTAAAAGCGTTCAGGTCTTTGCTTTTCGGAGTGCCATTCATCTTGTTTACTGCCCACAAGCCCTTGTTATATCTCCATTATATGTCTGAAGAAAATTCCCGCATGATGCGATCACTGAGCGAGCTCACAGAATACGATTTTGCGATCCGGTATCGACCTGGCAATGACAATTTGTGCGTCGACGCCATGTCACGCATTGCGAGTTCAGCCGGTGTGACTGCGCAATGTGAAGATGGTTCGCTACCGAAGTGATCAAACATGCTTGAATTTGTTGAAGGCGGTGAAGATTCATTTTTCAAATCTGTTTTACTGTGTCTGAGAGACCAAGAGGGAAAGGTAGCAGTAGAGTTACCATCAGATCACAGGGAGTCGAGAGACGGCTTGTCCACTATTTGCTGAATAACCCTGTTAAATTCGGTGTAATCGCAAGCAAGAAGTTTTCCATGCAAATGAAACTGATGCGTTGCCCTAATCAGATTCCTTGCGAGCAGATATTATCTGTTGTGTTTGACGTGTTCGGTATTAACGTTTGGGTTCATCATGGAATGGAGTGGCCTGTTATTTATCCTCCAGACGCTAAAAATTCCTTACCGGTTATAAATTTGCATTGTTTGTCAGGAATTCTTTTCAATGCTTAGTCTCAGCGAGCATTTGGTTTCCCGTGTAAAACAGAAGAATATCAACAGTGTGCTTCCAGTTGCTCGGGAACCTAGTTTACCTGTGCCAAATAATATAGCTGCAAGTAAACGCATTAATTACCATGTTTCACGCCGGAAATGTAATAATAACCTGTTTTCAGCGTCGAGCTGTGTTGTGGAAGCAGCATCGCTCAACTTTTGTTGTTTGCTCGACACGGGTAAACTGAGGCGTGATATTCCGGAATCCTGGTGTAAATGCTCGCGTTTTCTAACTGGAGACTTGATAACAGCGGTGGAAACTTATTGTAGTTCTTCTGATAGCGATTTTGTTAATATTGTTGATATTTCTGACTCGGATGAACCCGCTGTGCAGCGTGGACTACGAGCGTCGCGGCGTTCTCATGTATAACCTTAGAACGACGCGCCTCGACTAAGATCATACGTGATAAGCCTTTAACCATGTTACCTGTTCAGAACCGGAAGTGTAATCCAGTTGCTCATACTGTACCTGCTAATGATAGATCTAATGTTAATCGAAAGAAATTGGTACTTTTGAAGCAAATAAACATATTACTCGGTCATGTGGCCCTGTCGAAGAATACCCTCGTGTACAACCTAATGTTGTACACGAGGCATATCAGGCGTACACTGTTGGGCTAAAGTTTTCATGGGTAGTGCTAATCTGGAAACCATCGAAAAATTTAGTCCGGCATTTTTTCAAGACCTGTTGAGAAAAGCTGCAAACACAACAGTTTAAGAGTTGTTACTTGGAACAGTTGTTGCGAAATTACTTGGAGGAATGCAACAACAACCAACAGAGCCAGTTTAAGGCCGGCCATTAGGAAAACTAATCATTCGAATCTCTTCTGCCAATTATACTCTTGGGTGCAGTTGCAAACGAAAGTTTTTGGGTCAGGTTTCCTACAATGGATTGTGCTTTAGTTAAGTTGGAAAACATACATAAATGGTCATTTTTATTTTGATCTAATTTTTTTTTTGTTGAAAATATCTGACTAAAGCAGATATTTAATGGTGCGACATTGAGAAAGAATGTGAAATAAAATGCGTGCAATATTGTGTAAATAGACTTTATTGTGTAAATAAATGGATATTTTTTGCACATTTTATCGGAATGTTCCGTAATTTTTGTTATGTATTATTAGCTAGGGTTTAATAAATGTGTATTTTATTTGACTTTGTTTGTGACGAATCCGTAGAGAATAGGTTTTAATGTGAATTCCCTATGACCAGAGTTATTTCTTGAAAATACCACTTAGTGTATCGTCTTATGTCCTCTTGAGCGAAGTACAATAGTTATTGCACTTGAGGGGGGCAATGTTATGGTAAGCATTCGTCTGTTATTAATTTTCTTACTAGTATAGTCCACTTCCATAGATAATTTTAATCGAGAGAAATCAGTAGCCTAAATCCGGAGAATAGGTTTTACTAATGTCCAATACAGTCCCAGAACCCATACCGGCAGGATGTGTATGTGTGTAGTGTCAGTTAGTATTGTGTCGTGTCTTCCGGTTTGACATTTTTTCAGTGTACATATATTCCAGTAAGGTTTTGTATACGTATATTGATGGGTGTGTATTAAACTGAATATGTACATCTTAGTGATCTGATTCGTCTTATCTTTTATTCATTTTAGTTTTGTCATTTCTAACCGGGAGTCTGAATCGTGACCCATGTTTGCGAAATATAGTACCTACTGTACGCACTAAGGGTCAAGTGACCTGTCATTATTCATAGGAGATGGATGATTGAGAACCTGGGGCGGATCCCACACATGCAACTAATCTAATCCGAATCTACAGTAACATTCAACTACTCCAAAATCGCTGATTGTCAGTCCTAAGTAGGGATTTTTTTACATATAATAGAAAAATTTAGCTGAAGTAGATTTAGAATACAATAACAATTTATTGGAGTTAGACAACACAAAATAGTTAAATAACTGAGGTTTATCATTACTAAAGTTTAAATTGACAAACTTAACAAAGGAAGAGCAACCTATCATTTTACCGTGTTTTCCGATGGAATGTGCGTCGTGAAATCTGAAACAGACAGGAACTAATGAATTTCTGCAGTGAATACTAGTATCTGCTTCGTTTTGTTGTACATCAAAAATTAATTTCTGCAGTGAATACTTTGTTTTGTTGTACATCAAACAGTATTTATAGGAACCTTTTAGAAGAAGAATTTGACAGACATGATACTAGATAACCGAGTGAAAGTCACTGAAGATCTCTCCAATATACCATTGAAATTTAACGAGTCACCAAAATGAATTAATTATACTTCTTTAAGGCCTTGAATTTAATTTTAAATTTCTACTAAATTCTTCATCAAGAACGAGGCTGACAGTGGATAACAAAATTACAAAATTAAAAGAATAGAACTCATTATTATTTTTGTCAGTAGACCGCGGTTCTAAATAAAAGCCAAGGCAGCATTCGTCCTCTAATGTTCATCAGCAGACCTTATAACTATTGATAGAGATACGTTCCCTTAAAGTTCCTGCCTCCGCCGGGTCGCGGTCGGTAGTAGGCGTTGGGTGAACAGCAGCAGAGTAAACAGAGCTATTGACAGTAGTGTAACCGAGATGATCTTTCGAGCCACTAAAACATAAGCTAGCGGGTCATAACAATTAACTGTTGAAGCCATCGCAAGAATTTGCATTAAATCCTAAAGCCATTGCAAGAACCTTTTTGTTTTTGGGTTCGGTATGGATGAGGTCAGAACTCAAGTTTGTAGCACTTCTCGTTAGATATCACGGCAGAGTAGGCCTAACCTTCGAATGCTGATATCACACTAAACTGAAACCGCGTATACTAACGGAAGCCTTATGTTAGGAATGCAATAGCCAATAGAGTACAAGATAAGACACTCACTGTGGTCAGGGAACTTGTCCATCTCAGCAGTGGGGCCACACACGATCCGGCACGCTCGCTTCTGGACGAACAACTGGAAGTGTTCCTTGGTCTCCTCCAGACACTGACAGGCGCGGTAGTATGCCTGGGACAACGTCGTAACGTTCAAACGATGTGCGACAAATAATGGTGCGACAAGAAATGTAAACTTCTACATCATAATTTCATCCTAAGACTGTCTGCCTTAATTAAATTAAAATTCTAACACTATTGTTACATCCGATACGAGATAATACGACATAACATCTCTGAAACAACATTACACCAAACAATTTAATGCAATCGGTTTATTTTAATACAATGTGTGTCAGACAAGTCCAAAACATAACCAAATTATGCAATTTATAGCTTCATTAAAGGCGTGTTTTCACTCTAGCGAGGCGTAATTTACATTTCTCTAGCAAGGCGTAATTTACATTTATCAGAGTGGCATACAAGTGTGAAGTATCAAATCTCAATCATGCTTCGTAGTGTGTGAAGTTTGTTTGGTAATAATAGTACGGTATTTCTAGTATGTAGAGTGTGACGTTATTAGTGGGCACTGAATGGAACTTGTACAGCATCACTGACACGAGTAGTGTGAGTGTTCTATACAGTGACAGAGTGTTTCCTTTTCTTTATGAAAACATGGAGCTAAAATTTAGACGCGTCAAACAATACTTAAGGAAACTCGGTTCAAGCAAACGCTTTTTGAAGCTCAAGTTGAGTAGGTATGATACATGGGTTGAAATGAAATAGGTTTGGAATGAAACATGGGTTGAAATAAAATAGGCGTGGAATGAAACATGGGTTGAAATGAAATAGGTGTGTAATGAAACATGGGTTGAAATGAAATAGGCGTGGAATGAAACATGGGTTGAAATGAAATAGGCATGGAATGAAACACGAGTAGAAATGAAATATGCATAGAATGAAAGATGGGTTGAAGTGAAATAGACTTGTAATGCACCTTGATGTTGAACGGGTTGAGTTTGATGGCGTGCATGGCGAGCATCAAGGCCTTGGAGAACTCCTCCAACTGGAAGCAGACCAGCGCCTGGTTCGAGAAGATGCGGTCGTCGTACACCTGCTGACGACTTGCTGCACAAAAATATAATATTTTAATGAGCAGGATAAATTTTTCATAAGAAAATACAAGCAATTATAATGCCTTAGCCATTTACAAGGCAGCATACGAGATGTACAGCGTTCAGTCCATAGAAGGAAATCTCTACTCTTCAATCTAACGTGCGAGAACATTTCATTTGAAGCTTCATTTAATGAATTTGTGCCTGCAATGATATTGCACCATTTACAGTTGGGATGCACTTTTTAACATGCAAAGCAACAAGAGCATTAGCACTGAACAAATTTACTTTGTATATTCATTAATTACATTTGACAATATGTATATGTAAGGAATGAAGACAAATTCATTTAGCTTTTATGAATTTCTCAATTCATGAACTAGTTTAATGGACGTTATGGATGAGCGGGTGTTGATAGCGTTGTTTACGTTAAGCATCGCACTCACACACTGCATCATGTACGAACTCAGTGTGAACTGTGAGCAAACAGCAGTGATGTTTGAACAATGAATGGTGAATAATGAAGTGTGAATGATCGAATGCAATGATGAAAAATGCCGGATGACAAACAAATAATGAATAAAAATTTATGAACATGACAACACAACCAACAAACATCACGACATTATCACGGAACAATAATAAGGAAATACGGCGCTGTACTGACCGCTCTCATAGCAGGCTGCCGCCTCCCTGAAGAGCCCCTTCTTGAAGAGAGCGTTGCCCCGCACTCGCATCTGGTCTCCGGACGACCTCAGTTCTGCATCACGAATTTCCTCCTGCCATGCAAACAACAAATCTTTAAACGCATTGCCAATTTCCTTCCGTCAAACGCATTTTAAATAATATCTTTGATATTCTGCTAAATATATTTTTTTAATAATAAGTACCGTAATGGACATATTTCATGTATGAGAATGCATTAGGTCATGCAGATAAAGCATTTCACTTGCATAACATTGAGAGAGGCAGAATAACTCACACGCTCCAGGAAGGCCTTCAGTGAACGATCAAACTTCACCTGAAATGACAAGATGAAGATTATCAATATTTAAAAAAAAATACACAAGTTCTCTAGACACCAAAAAATATATAAGAAAGCCAGACGAATTTTAACAATAGGTATGCATGACAAATTTCATCATGAAAATATAATACAAATTATATAAATGTATACACAATATTATCAGAGCATTATTCACTTACAATTCGGGATTCTTGTGGGAATTGTTATTTTATTCCATGATTCCACATTTCAAAAAATATTTAATAGAACACTATTATACTAAACACAAAAGTCACAACAATGATGAACACAACAATGAACAACAACAATGAAAATAAAAAGATTGAGATCCTAGAAGACAAATTTATCCTAGTGAAGTCTCACCAGGGCAACAGAAATGTGCTTGATGCTGGCAAAGTAGGCAGTGTTACGGGCCACAGCTCCGTACAAGCTGTCAGTCTGCTCGACCACCTTGAAGCCTTGGATCATGAGATAAGGTACTTGCAGATCCAGCACGTTCTTCAGAGTTGGGTCGCTCTTCACCAGTTTGGACTGTGGGTAAATAACATGGAGGAATATTGCAGGGGACCTTTGGGCAGGAAACATAGAAAATATTTAATTGTTTCGTAACTATAAAAATAATTTTTCTGTATGATAGGGTCCATTCAACAGAATACCACGATTACAAAATTGACAAAATTTTGATTAAACTAATAAATTACTGTAAATCATAACAAAACTATAGAAAATAAGACTGTGAAGAGAACTCACAACACTAAAGGAAAGAAACGAGTTGCCTATCACAAATATATTAGTCCTTCTTACAAGGAATTAACTCTATCATTGCACTAAAGTCTAAACAAAGGGTTTGTTCTCGAACTAATTTTGGAACAACTGAATTTTTCATGCAAAAATGTGACACAGAAGATATTGAGTAAGTCAATGCATAAAAACATACACTTCATTGCATGTATATCACCACATAAACCATCATGGAGATTCTGCGTTCAATAAATACTAGTGCTCTATAGCTTATGTGCAATATCAACTTAACTTGCTTATTATTTATTTGGTACAGATGAATAAATTGACTTATTTTGTCACTTATTTTGTGTGATGACACATAAGAACCAACCTTGCTCACTTGCAGCACATGACCCACATAAATAGGCGGGTCCTGATTGGAATGCTTTGGGAAGCGCACCATGGGTGACAGTGCCTCGCCATCCGATAGACGGGCATAATAGTGGTGGTCGTACAGCATTGAGAACACAACCTGTCAAAATGGTGCAATATATTTATGGCTAGCAGAAATGTGTCAATAATTTCACACTTTATGTTGCACAATTGTCAAAAACATTCTATATGTTCAATTTTCAAGTTGAAGTTAACTGGTGTATAATAAAAGCATTGAATCTTTAGTTGACTTACATACACATTTATGGATTTACAATTTCATTGTTGATTCTCAGCTAAAAAAAAATATCCAAAATCAACACAGAGTGATGTTTTTTGAGTGGGATGCCAAAGGAACCAATGGAATGTTTTTTTCTTGTTATTCCTCAAGCTAAAAATGCTGCTGAAATTGACTTTTCTGAGTCAAGACATAACATCAAGCAGAATGCAATGGACCAATTAAACATCATTACAAACAAGCACTCTTGGTACATTCCAAAAAATGAGCACCACTGGAAGAAATTTGTGCAATAATGAGACTACTCTAAAAAGAAAAAGTTGCCACACATCAAGACCAATAAATGAATGTATGCCATTCTAAAATTCCATACTTTTTGATGAACCAAGTTAACCTTGTCAATTTATTCGAGATACTTGATTTTTTCCACACTGCATAATTTAACATTATAATTGTGCTGAGTTCAATAACCATTGTACCTAGGAAATCTAACAAGAGTTAAAAAATAAAGTTTTTATGCAATTCAGTCTTTTAGTCTCCATATTATAAGTGCAATTAGCAACCTAAATGTCCATTTATGTGAGAAGATTACAGGGATTATCTTGAAATTGATCAAAATATTTATACCTGTATAAAAAAATAAACGTACAAAACTTGGCATGAATGGAAATCCAGTAACATGAAGAGTGCAGATGAAATTCTTTTACCAAACATAGCTGTTTCACAATTATAATATTTCAAATTGTTTAGAAAATTATTGTGATTACAAAAATTCAACATGAAAACTAATAAGTTTGAGGTGATTGGTGACTTTGATATGTGATTGAGCAGATAGAAGTTAACCTGATAATTATAATGAAGTTTGTAAGAATTCAAATCACATTCAAAAGAAATTGAATTTTAAATTAGATTAGATTACGTGATTGACAATAGACAGTACCTGAACTTTTATGGAGTCATTCTTGCTGCCTTCATAGAGCAGCCTCACTCCGTTGATGGTCAGAGAATCTTTCATGATTGTTCTTTCCTGAAATTATTTTAATGTAAAAGGATGTCAATGTTATTCATCAAATGATAGTACAAAATAAGTTATGATAAGATTACCACTAGATGAGGCAAACATCAAGGATGACAAAGGTACTATAGCTTTTGAAACAAGCAGGTATGAAATTTTCATCCAATATATATATTAAAATCATAAATACATAATCCTAAGGAAAGTCCCTTGTTACTTTACTAAAGTAGCATAAGCAAACAAAACATCAACAGCATTCCTTGAAGGTTAGTGACAGATAATCACCCTGATTGAAGAAAATGCATGAAACTCTGCCAAATGTGTGATGAGACTATAACACATGCACATCTCTTGTTATGCCACAGCATGGCAAATTCACAACTAGAAATATGGACTTGCAGTTCACATTTTTTCTATCTATAACAGCTGCAAATAGATTAACTCATGGCTCCAAAAATGTAGTTGTTGATTTTCAGATATAATAAAAATGCACAAGTTATGAGTATGGCTTTTGGTAGCTAAATCTGAATGCCATAACTGGGGTTTGATAACCACAAGATCCAGGGTGCAGAAAGTGGGTGTGTATCTGAACATCTTCAGTAATGATAGCAGCAAAATACATGCCTTCAAAAGATCTAGCTGACACATTTAGTGCATTTTATATACTTGCAAATCTTTTGCAATGCTAACCACAGAACAGGAGGTACACCAGTGGCTGCATTATTCTTAAAATTTTCAGTTTCTGGCTGGTTGAATCAGGCTGCAAAGCACAATCTACAATTCGGCAATTTTGATTGCGATGCAATTGGCTACCTACTAAAATATCTTGGGTGTTAAAGATACACTCATCAAAGTTGATTTTGTAAGAATTTTGATGAAAATTATTTTTGCAATGCATCTTGAAGACTGTTGGCAACACAGTGATGCATCTTGAAGACTGATGGCAATGGAGTCTTCAAGACTGAACTTGAAGACTGCCAGCACTACATTGATGCATCTTGAAGACTGCCAGCACTACATTGATGCATCTTGAAGATTGCCAGTGATGCAGTGACGCATCTAGAAGACTGCCAGCAACAACGCATCTTGAGTATTGCCGGCAACACAGTGATGCATCTGACGACTGCCGGTGACGCAGCAATGCATCTTGAAGATTGCCGGCAATGCAGTCTTTTTAGATACTATCAGCGTTTAGATACCATTTTAGATACCATCAGCAAAATTTTTGGTCTAGAAGTACAAAAATTGGTGATGCATTCCCCAAACTCTGCATCCTGGTACACAATTATGACAATGACCATAAAGTAGTTCTGATCATGCCAGAAAGATGTGGTTCACTTTTGTGTTTAAAATAGAGTATCCCTATTAAAATCCAGCTTCTTCACTGCTGAGACAATATTATTGGCATTGACAGCAAGAGCACAATAAAGCCACAAGATTCCAAAATTATTCAGAATGTGTAACTTTGCGGCATTTGCGCAGACAAAATTTCAGTAGAGAGTAAAAATTTTCCAATCTTGCTTTAAAAATCAATAAACTTTAATAAAAAATAATGTACACATGCAGTTATACAGCTTTCTAATCTAACAAATTTTCAAAAAATTTAGATTTATTTTTTATAAATAAAAAGTTTCATGCATTTCAATGCATTTCATTCCATGCCCCAATGCCCATGACCCATCTAATCATTCTACGGCATTAACTGCAGTACTGCTTATTGCTTAACCCTGAAGAGCACTGCAGCCTGCAGTGAGTGCAGGACTGCAGGGGTCATGTCAGTGTTGTCACTCATGTCACATGTGGATTGTGGACACAGTGGCACTGGCAGAGCAGAGTTTTTTAGACTCTTTCTCAATTTCAATTTGAGTCCTAAGTAGACCAGCAAAGTTTCATGGATACCAGCTGTTCATATATAAAATTAAGATTTAAGATATTGGTTCAAATTTTGAGTAAAAATGGGAGTTGAAAATGAACTGATTTAAAAATTTTCTGGTTTGCCACTATGAATTTGAGATTTGTGGATTACCATCAATTCAAGCAATCAAAGTCATCAATATTTTCAATGACACACAACCTCACACAAGTCACCACTCAAGACTCCAACTCACTCAGTCACAGGCACTTGGCAAGTTGGCAGTTGGCACTAGCCAGCCACTCAGCAGCTACTGCACTAAGTTGAACAACTTGAACTCAACTTGCCAATTCCTAATAAATATGTGTTTGTGTAATATTGGACATTGGTCTTTTGGTCAGAATTGTGATTTCTAGAAAAAGTAGAAATAGAATGTAGCCTATGTAGGTAGCTAGGTACTAGGTATCCTGTACCCTGTTTAGTTATCTAGTTACCGTGTTACGTAGGGTTTGATAACTTAGATTGCCACATAGTAACATAGTAACTAAGAAGCTTGTTGACACTGTGGTAGAAAGTTTAGCTGTTTAGGGACTTGAGAGTTGAGGCTTAGTTTTCCTGACAAAATAGATGACACTAGCCTTCTTTTGAAGGCTAGCCTTCCTGACACTAGCCTTCTTTTGAAGGCTAGTGTCCTAGTGTCAAGTGACATTGTCATCAGTGCTGTGGGCATGGGCCTGTGGTCAGTGTTGAGTGTGCTCTATGCTGTGCTAGTCAGACTGCTAGCTGGGCCTGATGTGGAAATGTGGCAACTGGCATTGGCAATCACTGCCATTTCACTGGCATAGTTAGCCTAGACTGCCTAGTGGTAGACTGGCATAAAACTACTGCATCAATTGTGATGTGATCATGGCAATTGAACATCGGCATCGCAACTCTTCACTATTATTGAAGGCTCATTATATTACTGGCTAGTGGCTATACTGGGTAGGGCTGGTAGGGTATTGATTGACATCAGGCTTGCTTAGCAATTTAGCATTAGGCCATTAGCCATGGGCCCATGTTACCTATAACCTAGTTTCAGTGTTTCACTGTTAGACTGTCACTGTTTCAATCATTATACCTACCGTCAATGCCACATAAGTCGCCACTTTCGAAAAACCCGCTAGAATATACTAAATTTTGAAACACCAATAAGCTAAAAATTAAATGTAACACATGTGCAGGGTTGCCTTATGTTCAGACTTTTGAGAAAAAAGTCACTACATTTTTTTTATTGCTTGATCATATAATAAAATGGAAGTTCGCGGGACTCGTCTGGAGTGGCGAGGTATATAGTACCTACTTTAAAGTCGCCAGCGATATTAACAAAGGGTACACTAAAGTCGCCATAGCCTGGCGAGGTTATTGCAGTCTTTTTGTGACTAGCGCCTAGTCCTGCCTACGTGAGGTACAGTAGAGAAAGCCTCAAATTCACTCGGAACCATCCCTCCAACTGTAAGAAATTAAAGAAAAAAATTAAAATATTGCCTTTGGTCGAAAATAAACGAAACTCCAAGGAATATATCTTTCTTTTAGCTACCAGATTTCAGTCGATTTGCACTAAGATTCAATTTCATGACTGGTAGAACTCGTAGAAGCTGTCCTTTTCACTGCATTGAGGTTGGGAGGGCTGTTCATTGTTCATACCATTCATTCGCTTCTACTCTATCGAAAAAATAAATTTCATGGATGAACATCGCGTATGAAAAATTAGTCTGTTACCATGTACCTAGTGTAGCACACTGAGTGCGAATATCTTAGTACGCAGCGTGAACAATTTCTTTGAATCCAAAAAATGTAATTCCCAACCCCATCCATAACACGGGGGCCAATATTACGGCCAACAGAATGAGCGCACTGCCCGCAAGTAGGCGATCTCGACCGCTGAAATGCTTTTGTAGAGTCCGCTGCCAGACACTGAAATATTAAAAGCCAGTAACTAGTAACTACACCCACAAAACTAAGTCGCAGACTTGCAAGAAATAAAGAGAAAGACCTTAATGTATTACGTCGACTTAACCAACTCAAGATCGTTCCCTTTCGACGAGAGCCTAAGGTACACAGAAGTCCTATGTTCTCAGCAATGTACCTAGGCTCCGAATTACAGAGCTCGTGGCATCATACACGACTGTGTCAATTTTTTGGGGTCTTCTTCCCACCTGTGAGGTTAGTTTAGGACATGCATAGATGGCTTATGTAGGATTGGTTTGTAGTACACGCAGAAACGGTCTCTTGTAAGAGTGTTTAATGTCTCACGCAAATTACCTCTTTCAAGAGTGGTTAATGGGTCTCACGCAAATGGCCTCTTTCAAGAGCATTTAGTGAGTCTGTCGCAAACGGTCTCTCTCAAGAGTAGTTTGTATAGGTCTCGCGCGAACAACCTCTCTTAGGATTGGTTGGCACTCGTTAATGGCTTCTAGCAATCTTGGCAGATTTAGCTGCTCATCGATGCATTCTTTGTGTCTTGAAAGGGGCTCATAGACCAGCTTTTACCGTGGACGTGCGCACGGCCTTGAGCGAGAAAGCTGCATTGTACTGTGAGCATTGTTCAAGATTTAAGGTTAAGGTGGCCCATTGGTTACAGTTCAGAATAGCGTGGCTGGAGCAGTAAGGTGCGGGTTTGATCCCAGCTACCATGCTACAGTCCTGGTCAAATCAGCGAGAAGGCTGGGCGGTTAAGCACGGCAAAATTAGAGCACTGAGGTGCGTGTTCGAAACCGCAACAAGCTGTGAAAATTCTGCAATGCTAAAAATCGGTGATGGTAGAACGTCCTAATGAACGCTGAAATCGCTATGTATTACTATATCACCCGTCACAGACACCTATATAGCTCCAGCCATTGATACTGAAATAGATCATGGTAAAATATTGTTATATTTTCTCCATGTATTTATTCATATTTGATTTTACACCAGCCATGACAGAAGAAGGAATATCAATTAAAGAATAAGACTATATGCGTAACAAAACTTTGTGTCCGTCAATGACTGCATGCACAACGCGCCCTTTCAGTTCTCATGCATATCCTTGTAAGTTACAAGCTGTGATAGATATAACCAATATTTTGTGGATATATAGGTATAGGCATTGACACTATTGAAATGTCAAGTTGTTCTGACT